CCAGCTATTTTAGGGTACCTAGGGTGCTTGGGTTTTAACCCATGGCCCATAGCCGCTAGCCAATAGGAGGCTTTGCTTGGAAAAAGTACATTATCACATCATATTCTAAGACATGTATACACTAATATCTAGACATGCACTTTGCCCAGGATGCATGTATTATTTGTTCCCGGACTTCTTTGAGGGGTATCAAGCGTATCAAATGTGTTATTTCTCGCGCCATGCAGGTGTTTCGATGTTTCCTCCAAAATCATCTACTGGGTTGGTGGCAAGACTGTAGGCTTCTTGGACACCCAAGTTGGTATAGTGGTTTATAACACACCTGCTTGGGGTTTATATATATATATATATTATGGGTTTTCAAGTTTTTTTCAACCATACTTGGGATATGGTTGAGATTATTAATATGTGTGGGATGGGTAGAAACCGCCAACCAGGCATTTATATCTCAGATATTCATAGATATTCGATATAAATGAGATATCATATTTGATTACTCACATACGAAATGGGATTCATCCCCGAGAAGTGTTCCCCTAAATGTTTATATGGCTCTGTGGGGTCAAGTTCAACTAGACAGGCATAGTTCTCGAAACGTCTATGCCTACGAGCATGATCATGTAACAGACGAAAAGAGGAGTAATGGCCAGAACATCACAATCCACCATTCGCAAATTGTTTCCCAAATGTGTCCTTGGGGAAGGGTTATATTTCTGGACGAGTTATAACAACCATCGCATGTACCTACCTCACTAGAACCTCACAGCCAATTCTGCCGGCTAGTCAATGAAGAATCCCCCCAAAAAATCACTTATTGTATATCTGGTTTCGGCTGGACTAGACCCTCTGGGAATCGAGCATGATCTACATTAATATACTTATTATCCCTTTAAGATCAAAATGATGGATCCTCCCCCATCCTCCCCCCATGCTACGCCAAAGATTGGACCCAAAACAGTGCCGAGGTTCCGCAATTCCAAACTCACCTTGTTGGCTCCTCAGGACGGGTTTTGCTCGAAGATCATCGTAGATTTACGAATTTTGGTCCTTAAATGTTGGATATGGCTACCCCAATAGCCGGTTGGTTTATACTGGAAAAACCGATCTAGAAATGGATGATGACAGGGGGTACCCCCATTTTAGGAAACCTCCATATTGCTAGATGATGCAACCATCCTAAGAAGGTAGTTGTTCTTCACAATCAGTGGCAATGCTCAACGTGGCTTTATTTTGGTGTTATTTTTGGAATTCTCTGGTCACAGGAAAGTATGACAGTAAATTCATGTAAATTCTAGGTTATATCAGGTTTCTTAATTTTGGCCCTTTTTCCGTAATACACCAACTAGAATGCAACACTAGATGTTTTGGAGTGGTTTGACTTTTTTTTTGAAATTTGGAGTGCGGTGAACCTAGAATTAGCTTGGTCAGAATTCCAGGAAAATAAGATAGCTCAAATTGAGGTTTAATTGGTATCAGTTTGATATTAATTTTACCTCAAACTTTGGCCCCGGGTTTGGGTACCCTTCCCAGCCTTCAATTTAGTCCTGGAGGAGCCTGACATTGCAAGGTTCAGTCTATTTTTTGCGCATGACCACAACTCTTATTTTTGCTAAACTGGTTCTAAATTCATGATACATTTATCTTAGATTGAGATCGCAAGAAAGGGAACGCCAGTGATTTCCTGCTGTTCTGGCAATGATTTCCATGACACGTGTGGAGTGGTTCCATGGAAACATGCGGCCCGTACACATTGGAAAACCCAGGTTGCTTTCAAATGCCCTTTCTGGCAACTCGAGAACTTCAATGATTGGTACTTTGAGTCCCGCTGCTTCGCCCTCAGCTTTGGTTCAGGTTGTGAAGGGCGCGAAAAGAAACACACATTGGCAGCTCTGGAGGTTTTAACATGTTTTAACTACATATGCATGATATACGTATACATAATATGTATATATATATATGTTTACACGTTTAAAATAATAATCATCATATATATATATATATAATATAATATAATATAACATAATACAATATAAATGATTATGTGTATTATATATATACATATATTATGTTATCAAACCCGAACATTTCTGAAACCTTTGTGCATGCAAATGGAACTGACATGACTTGGCACCTCTTTTGCCAAGAACCTTTCATCTTGTGACCATCTATAAGTCATGTGCATCCGAAAAACGTCCCAAATACGCACCATTTTTTATACCATATTCCAAGAGTTATACTAAGCAATTGGGTCCAAAAGAGGTCGAAGGTTTCAATTGCTGTATGTTTTGTTGACCATCTCCAGTTCTTGGACCATCAACCAATGGGACTAAGAGGGAAAAACCATGAAAAATCCAGTGGTTTCAGGGCCGCCAGTTTCGGGTTGCACTGTCCAGTATATACAGAATTACATGCACATGTTGTGGATAATGGTGGAACGTCACAATCCATAAAATGGGAATCCGTATGAAGCAACCAGTATTTCATGGAATGACATCATGACATTGCAGATTAAAAAAGGCACAAAATTCCAACAAAAAATCCCACCAGGGACACCCCAACATTTTCGCCACTCGTCCCTGGCAGTCCTCCAACTTTGAAGAGAGTCACAACACCCTGAAGTGCGGAACCTCAGGAATTCTGTCCCCAACTTGGATGTCCCTTTTTGGGCCAACTTGACTAACTTGACCCTCGATTTCTGAGCAAAACTTAAACACAACTGGCAAAAGTTCCAAAGATATTCTGCGGGAAATCCATATAATTTGCCACATTACAGTGATAGTAAAATCCATTAAACTGCGGGAAATGTTGTATTTACAGAGTGAACTATCCATATATGATCATACCCCTATTTTACTACTTACAATGGGCAGTTTAACCCTGTAGTTTTTTGCTATGGAGAAACACAACATAACCAACACACAAAATTTCTTGTGAAATAAATAGAAAATCCTGCAGGATTGGTCAGATTGCTGTAAGATGCTATAAAATCTATAAATGGAGAAAAACAATCTTGTGAACTACCAGAGATTGGCCAGGTTATCACAACTGATCCCCTGTCACGGCCGGTTATTCTTCTCCGGCCAGGTTCGCAAGCACGGTGAAGACCATCAAGGTCCAGGCGAAGGCGGCAAAGGCATTGGACAAGGAGCGATGTCGCAAGGTTTCTGGGATGGGATATCATGGGACTATCATGGGAATATATAGATGGGAATGTATAAAAGAGAATCTATAGATGGGAATATCTATATATATATATCTATATATTATGATAATTATTTGGGAGAAGGCATCATGTAGGACGGTACACTGTAATAGTGATGTCATGGGAAGATCACGGAATATAGATAGGATATAACTGGAATATTGCTGGAATATAACCGGATATACCATTGGGTCATCAAACGTGCCTAGCTGGGAAATCCTCGATAAATGGAGGTGTTAATGGAAAATTATTTGCAAATATGGATACCAGCTAGCCACGTCGGAATTCGTGAGTACACCGCGAACGAATGAATTTGGGGATAAGATATGAGATAGAATATGGGGGTAATTATGGACCTATAAACGTTATCCCCAACTTAAATCATACAATTATCATGATAAATAGGGAATAACATATGTGATCGAATCAATTAGTGGGGATATGACAGGACCAGTTTCTCTACTTTTGTGTGTGATATCCCCATGAATTTGGAAAACCAACAAAATGAGGAAATATGCAGGAAAAATAGTTGGGACCACAGATGGGATAGTCATGGATGGTCCGAGTAAATGGAGGAGCTGGAGTTGGACAAGTTGGAAGATCTGGCAGGAAAACAAATAATTGACAGTATTGTAAGTAACTTTGTAGTGCCCAAGAAAGATGACATCAGAGTAGTAAAGCTGACTCCTGCAACAATATAGACATTTCAAGAAGTTTGATGGTGACTCCTTCATGAGGCCTCATTGTTTCAATGTGGGATGATGATCCTATCAAACCTCTGAAATGCTCATTCAAGTGAGCCATTGGTTGCCCGGCTTGAATTCTACAGCATGTCACGCATTTTCAGATGCAATAAGACACATGTTGTGCAACAGCTATGTTGGCACAGAAAAACATCGCCTTTGGAAAGCGTTGTTGTATCGCAGATACCCCCAAACAATCCAAACGATTGCTAAACTTGCTCAGACGGGTGACATATATCAGATGTATTCACATGTCCCTAAAGGCCCTGAAGGCCCTAAAGACTATTTCCATCAATTGACAACTGGTTGACTTGTTAATTGTTAAGCTGATTGAGTCACTGCCATGACGTTCCTGGCAATGCACGTTCGAAAGAAGCTCTTTGCCCTTGCCGCTGCACAGGAAGCTTCGCTGTATGAAGAATTATCCCACTTCAAAGACATTTAAGACAAAACCGAACCCGTATAGAAATCTCACAATAAACAAAAGATGCATGATGCAAAAGCGGTGTATATACATATGTGATCATGTTTATATATATATATATATATATGTGCGATTATGTGCGTGTACGGCACATGTTGTTAATTATCTTAAACATTTTAAAACTATTATACCATATATACATGTCTAAATCTATATATATATATGTATGTATGTAGAATTATATATACATATATGCTTGCAATACTGCATACACACAGGATTACCGTACTATTTGTGTGATCAATTTAGGCATTGATGTGCAGGCACCAGGGATGGCATGGTTTGCACGCACTTTCTAGAGAGCCCTACCTGTGATTATCCATCAATTGCCTACTCTGCCACATTTGAAGCATTTGGTTGTTGAAGCATCGCTAGTGGTTTGTAACATGCGATCTTCAATACAGGTATGGCCCTTTACCAGTTACAAGTTACAAGTCAATTATACCTATTTACAGAATGTAAAACCCCATTTATAACATTTTATAACCATGTATAGTTCGTAAAGTTTCACGTGGCGCCGTGGCGCCGTGCCGAGTTCTGTTGCACAACTCCCTGGTGGAGCAATTTCGCCATGGCTCGGACCAAGATTTTCCCTCCGCTGACCCTGCTGGATGGTCGCAGCATGCCATCCTTCGGGCTGGGGGTTTTTCGGTGTCTCGGCAGATGGACTTCGGATGACTTCGGGCTGTGTGGTTCCGGAACTGGGCTGTCAGTTGGTGTTGATTGTACATATGATTTACCCTCTGGTAGACTAACATAACTATGGAAAATCACCATTTTCAATGGGTAAATCCACTATAAATCACCATTTTCAATAGCTATGTTAGTTTACCAGAGCATATGATTTATATTGATTGCGGGTGTCCATCTAGCAGAAGATGTGCCAATCCATATGATATCTATTTGGTTTGATACTATTTGATTTGTAGATTTGCTTTTCTGCTTTCTACCCATTCATTGTGTATTCCACTTGCATTTGTAGTGTCATATTGCTGGTTGGGTGAGAGCCCCTGTTGTTTCGGTTTGGTTCCAACTTGTTTTGATGTCCCCATACCCAAACTGTATGACATAGCACCCAACGGCTTTCACGAGGGACATGCGTGTTCATTTTTTTTGAATTAGAATTGACCAGACTAGACTGGAATACATAGATGCCTATCCTTGAAGCTTCAAGTCATCCAAAATCATCCGACATATACGATAATGTCTCTTGATACGCCTCTCCCAAACGTGTTGCATCCTTAGATCAACCGATCTATTGAAACGTATCCTTTTTTTCCGAAACATTCCAAGACATCGTGGTGGGTTCCATGGTGCCATGGTGCTATCATGCTATCCATATCACCAACAATATCTTGTAGGTTACAACAACACAACACACATCAGCAAAAACATAAAATCTGCAGATTAAAAAACAAGCAAAGTTAAAAACTACTGTAACAGTCCTAAAAAAAACACATCCCAAGACCCCAAGACATGTCTTCTTCCCCCCGTCCGAGACATCAGGTCCCCACCAGGCACTGAGACCTACAACGCTGTGAGGTGGGCCTTGGATTTGGGTCACTTGGCGCGCTCAAACGGGACGTTTAAGCGACGTTTGTTGGTAAGTTAGCCGCTGGAAATCTGGGAAAATGATGGAACATGGTCATAAGATGTCATAAGATCAGTTGATTTGTGGAAGGATGGTATTTTTTTTCAGGCAATCATGCCCAACATGGCACTTGTCAGGTGATAATTATTTGGTGATAGCCGTTTCCCAAAATCTTGGAGTCAACTCTGGGACAAGTTGAAGTTCGGAAAGATCAGAAATTGACCCAGGACTTCACCAGAAGTTTTGGTGAAGGGTAGCGTGATGACTTACACAGCCAAGATCTTTCTTTAAACAGCGTAAAAAAGCACGTGTTGTTGCATGGATTTTCCACAATAAATACTCATACCCCTTTGCTTGTCGATGATATGAAGGTTTCCCTTACATTTGACTTAGTAGGGCCAACATGTATACAGATCAAATGAAGCCCGTTTCTATCCTGATTCTGAAGTTGTTCATTGTAAACAATTTCCTTGAGCCACGTGCAGTGCGCAATCTGCGTCCAAACAAGGGCTAAATATTGGAGAGGAACATGACCGGATTTAATCATAGAAGCAATTGAAAACAATTTGTCCAAACAAAACAGACAAACGTAGCAAAGAGTCAATGATCAGATGTGTGAAGATTTGGGTCCCCTAAAATCCAGGCTGGGATATCCCCTGTCCTTGTGGACACGCGCAGATCAACATGTTTTCAGATGTCATTGATGTCAAGGTATCCCAACTGACATTTTTTCCAGGAGTATTGAGACCATTCTGCCAGTTACCGCAACTTGACATCCCCATGACTTCAGGTTATCGGCTGGTTGATACGGCAGCCATGTACCGAAATGAAGAAAGTGTCGGGGAGGCGAAGCTTTTTAGGGGAGCTGCACGGCAGAGTTGACCCCATGTCAGAGACTCTGTATAGCCTCGGCCCATAGATCAAGATCGTGATTTTCAGAAATGGGAATTGGATCCCAAAATGGAGGTACGTTAGTACCATATGTTTGGCCATATTTTGGGATATTCCCTGAAATTGATAAGGCATATGTTTCAGGCCTAAAATTTTGGCCTGATACATAGGCCTTATGTATATAAAATCGGTTCCTGAAATCACCATTAAAATCTTCAAACACCTGTGGGATTTTGCCGATCGTTCCACAGGCCGTTCGCGATTCAGGGCTTCCACGTGAAGAGGTCTGGGTCACCACCAAGCTCTGGGATAGTCACTGGGCGGCGAATTTGAGCGCCGGGCTCGCAATGATAGGATTTTCACGCGCGAACATGGCTACTTTAATATGCTTTAATATGGTTTAAACAACAGAACTGGTGTTTGAACCAAAGAAATTGGTGTTTCAGATGGTTTAAGTAGACTGCAGCGAGGTAAGTTGGTTACTGTAACTCCAATAGCCGTTGGATTGGAGATTAGTTTGCAGCGTTGGAATGCCGAATATGCAAACAGACACACACATGGACGTAGACATGTTTAAAATCTACATTGTGTACATCAACGCAAAATGAAATAGAACATAATTAAATAATATATATATATGTGTGTAATTATAAAAAAATGTAATATTTACATAAATATATATATAATTATATATATAGTTTTATTTATATATACATAACTTACTGGGCCCAACTGACCCTACTTTTGGATAGTAAAAGGGACCCCATTTGCAGGTCAGACCCATTCACAACTGAGTTTGGAATCTATCGGAATCTATCGTTTTCTCTCGTTTGCTAAGATATAAATGGCTCAATTTGAATGTACTTTACGCTAATTCATGCGTACTTTTAGTTGTCATACTATGTTGTCTATTTTGTTTGATTCATTATTTCATGTTTCTTTTTCTATTAAAACAAAAAAAACATATATGTTGCCAGATATTTTTATATGTTTTTATGCATGCTGAGGCTGCTGAGGTACAGGTTCACTCCACGCTGCACCCTGGCTCGGCTCAGGTGACCATGGCTTGGCGCCCAATGGGCCGTTGGGATCTTTGGGATGAATCCCCGTGATGTTTGTTGGTGTAGGACCCTATGAAAACTATAGTATGAAGATGTGATCAGTATCATAAATATTCATAAATCATAGTTATTGGATAGTTATTGGAGCTATCTAGGGGGCCCCACTTTGCAACGATTCCAAGGGCTTATTAACGACCAACAACCGCGCTTTTTTGAGGCAGAATCTTCAGCAGCTATGCTGGAGACACAGCTCGATAGAACAAAAGCGGGTGGTCAAATGGTCAGATTTGTCATGTGCCAGAAATATATCTAATTGGCAGTGGGACACAGTACGCCAAAATACTCTAGGTTTCAAATGGGTTTAAACCTGTGATTTTCCGTTGGTGAGATGACCAGAGGGAGATGTGGACAAACTTATCCAAGTTCCAGCCAGTTTTCTCATCTGCCCACAAGCCTTGAGCCCAACACCTTCGATGAGCCGAGTGAGGCATTGCCCAAATTTTATAAACCCCTACTAAGTACTACTATACTCATAACCCCCATGAAATCCCATTAGATCCCAATACTTCCCATCAAATCCAAAGGAAATAAAGACTCCGATCACATTGAAGGCTACGAAGCTGCAATGAACGCCTGTCAGCAGAGCCTCAAAAAGCTGGGACTCTCGGTACACCAATGGTGGAGGTCAGCATGATTCAACGTTCAGTATCACAACATCCTGGAAGAACCTGTCTAAGAACTGTCTAATTTGGTGGTTTGTCGTGTGTCCATCCACTGGTTGATCAGGATTGGGTTACATTGACCTGTACTTGCCGCTCAGCTTTGTGAAAGAGGGTGGGTTATGGTGGGTTAGGTTATGATGGATATACCACCCCAGTTGATGGGTTCCAGTATCAAATTACCATTCACTCTTATGAATTGTTCCATGAGTACAAACTACTATTAACCATGATCATAATCTACAACGTACTGTTTTCAGATAAATCATGATACTAAAAAAATACATGGTTGCAATAGTTTTATTCATAATTGTTAATCTCTAAGGATTACAAATTATAATCCACCCCTACAAGGTGGTGCCCCGCAGTAATGTTAGTTGGACTATAAACCATAGAAACTACTTCACTATATATATATATATATACCTATCAATCGTTTGAAGAAATGTCCACCAACTTATATAGCTCTAAGAATGATAAATACTACGGTCTTAAACATTTTTTTTGTAAACAACCATAGCAGAAGGATTATATCCACCATTGTTTGGGGATTATAGCCAAACATTGCTACTAACAACATTCTGATTGCCATATACATATATGTACATTGTTGTTTATTCACTATCAAAATGCTACCATTCTACAACCCATTGCCTATTACTGCAATATAGAAGGATTACAACAGCAACAACAACAACAACAACAACCTATTGTCAAGTAATCATATATCTATAATATATTGTTAAATCATGTTTTATGTGTTGGATTATAATCCACCCGGGTGACGCCACAGGATTCACTCGCCCAACACGGGGAAGTTGGTGGAAACATGGGATGCCTTCCTCGAGCTGCAACGGGAAGGCGTGGTGAAGTCCATTGGCGTCTCGCGTCTTGCCATGGCGGGGGGGGTTGCATCCGCAGCAAATGTGGGATTTTGCGGAGGAAAATGGGGGTTTCAACCATGTTTTCCATGGAACATGATGGTTTGAACCATGTTTTCGAAGGAACATGATGGATTTCATCATGTTTTTCAAGGAGAATTGGGGTTTAACTAAGTTTTGACCACGGAAACAGGTGATTCAACCAGGCACACTGGTCAGTTTTATCCATAGTTTAGCAGCCAAATTGGGGTTTCAAACCAGAAAAACGGGTGAGTTTACCTGACAAAAAAATGGAGGGTGTATATATATATATATAATATATATATGTGCATATACGCATAGATTTGCCATGATTTGTGGGTAGCATTATCTTACTGTGGTGGCCACTACTGAGGCAAATTCATGAGCAACAAAAACAACAAAAAGGGACAACAAGGGACAACAGGTCATGTGATGGCACGTGAAAGTTTGTCCCCCATTACATTAGCATGGAACCGCAAAACTCGGTTGGGAAAATTATGTTCATCACTTGCACATGGCCATAAATATAGGTTTGCAACATGTGTTTTGTCTTTTTGCTGGTACCCTCCAGTAGGTTATATCAAAACATGGTGGAAAACCCACCATTTGCAGATCATTTTCCGAACGGGAAACCATGGTTGATTTCCACATATATTTTTGTTTACTCTAGGGTATTCCATTAAATTCCATATCATCCATATAGATTCCTTTGAAACCACAATGAAATCCAATTGCTGTAAATCACCATGAAATTCAATTAAATTCCATTAAACCACTATTAAATCACCATTAAATACCATTGAATCACATTAAATCACAATTGAATAATCATTAAATCAAATTGAATTCCATTAAATCACCATTAAATCATTATTAAATCCCAGTAAACCACTATTAAATCACAATTAAATTACCATTAAATCACCATGAAATCTTATTAAATCACAATTAAATCACAATTAAATTTCATTAAATGCCCATTAAATCACCATTAGATACGATTAAATCCTATTAAATTAAATCACCATGAAATCACCATTAAATCGAATTACTTTACTTCGAGTGATCCCCACCATGGCATTTCAAGACATATATTTGGGCATATATTCTGACATGTTACCTAACATTCTATTGCAGAATGATCTCACATGCTTGCTGCATCCTCTTGAAAGCAGTTGCCAAGCAACATCAGCAAGGAAGCAACCTGATATTATGCCATATCTTATGACGGTCTGTTTGGCATACAGTATGTATCTGGCATATGAACGCTGCGATCTAGCACTTGCAGTTGAGGTCCAGCAGAACCACTCTGATCATATCAAGTATCCTTGGGCTGAAATGCAGTTTCCAAGCGACATCAACAAGAAAGCAACCTGTTATATGCCAACACTTATGACATTCTTTCCGGCATACAATATTGAGGTCCGGCAGGGACCACTTTGATCCTGGGCTTGCTGTTCGGGTCCGGCAGGGACCACTGCTATCTCGCGCTTGCAGTTGAGGCCCGGCAAGGACCACTTTGATCCTGGGCTTGCTGTTCGGGTCCGGCAGGGACCACTGCTATCTCGCGCTTGCAGTTGAGGTCCAGCAGGGACCACTTTGATCCTGGGCTTGCTGTTCGGGTCCGGCAGGGACCACTGCTATCTCGCGCTTGCAGTTGAAGCCCAGCAAGGACCACTTTCCTCCTGGGCTTGCTGTTCGGGTCCGGCAGGGACCACTGCTATCTCGCGCTTGCAGTTGAGGTCCGGCAGGGACCACTTTGATCCTGGGCTGTTCAGGTCCGGCAGGGACCACTGCTATCTCGCGCTTGCAGTTGAGGTCCGGCAGGGACCACTTTGATCCTGGGCTTGCTGTTCGGGTCCGGCAGGGACCACTGCTATCTCGCGATTGCAGTTGAGGTCCGGCAGGGACCACTTTGATCCTGGGCTTGCTGTTCGGGTCCGGCAGGGACCACTGCGATCTCGCGCTTGCAGTTGAGTTTCGGCAGGGAACACTCTGATCTTGGGCTTGCTGTTCGGGTCCGGCGGGGATGACTGCGATCGCGAGCTTGCAGTTGAGGTACGGCGGGGGAAGGGAAATTGGAGGAGGAGGAGGAGGAGAAGGCCAGCTGACATAAAATTTAACAACCCTCACCTGACAGGTCGTGATTTAAATCCCATTACAGTATATCACCTTTAAACCACCATTAAATTCCATTGAGTCACAATTAAAGCCACCATTAAATTCCATTAAATCAGCATTAAACAACCATTAAATCCCATTAAATCACAATTAAATCGCTTTCCATCCCATTAAAGCACCATTAAATCATCAGTAAATCCCAGCAAATCACAATTACATCACCAGTCAATCACATTTAGATTTCATTAAATACAATTGAATCACATTATGTCGCCATTAAATCACAACTATATCACCATGAAATCCCATTAAATCAGATTAAATTGCAATTAAATCACAATATCCCCATTTGGGATCTTTCGTTTGTCAAAACCCAGGAACTTTGGGGTTCAGCACTTGGAGGCCTTGAAGGCCAGTGGGCGCCCACTGCCGGTGGTGAATCAGATCGATGCTTGGTGCATTGATTGGGCCAGCCAAGGGGGGGATGAAACACGGCTGGGGCACTTGAAAATGAACAGATAGGGCAATGTCTAAATTGGCACAGATGAATGAACACGATGTTTAACTGTGGATTTTGGGTGATTTTGTGTATATAGTTACACATTTCAGACATCACGTGATGAACAGGGTGGTTTATTCAGAACTGAAGCAGATGAAGGAGCTTTTTCTTTGGCTGAAAATTAGCGTGGGAATGTCAAAGAAACCTTGCACGGCTATTTCAAACGCTGCATGTGCGGTGGTCTTAATTGTCCGAAGCTTTGGCTATCTCTTATGTGCTAACCCACTGCGTTAGTTTATTGCAAACACACAAAGAAACATTGGATTTTGGCATGTTTGACCATCAAACACCACGGGGAAAAGGCGGTTTTTGCATCGCTGAGTGGCGCCGAGGAGATGCATCCATTGATCTATCAGGAACGCAGATCGGTGATTGAGCAACTGAACTGGATCCAGGTTCGATAAAACTCCAAAAATGTAGTGAAAACGTATAGGTTTGTGTTATTTTTATGGAAAATAAAACTTAGATCCACCCCAAAATGAATCCAGGGAACCACAGTGTCAGGATGTGGTTTTCTTTGAGAGAGAGAGAGAGAGAGAGCGCGCTCCCAAATTTCCAGTGGAGCGCAGGTGCCCGTTATTCGTTGTATTCAACCTTCAGGTTTGGATAATTTAGGATTGTCTTCTGCAAAATTTCCCGGACATCTATAAATCCCAGCCCCCAATTTGAAATACTACCCTTCAAACCGCGGTTTCATGCTAGATCCATTTCGGCTTCTTCCTGGGGGTAATTTATATTCTGGGGAAGGGGTTGGATCGATCATAATGTTTTTCCCTTCCCCCTATAATCATAATCATACCACTACCACCAAAAAAGGGTAAGAACAAGTTCGCCTATGATTGAATCTGTGTTCATCTAATTTTATTTGGGCCCCTTACATCCATGGTAATTTTCAGGACACAATGGAGATACTGTTACGAGTAGTACCGCACAAGGCGGTGGCGGAAGTTTCAAAGATAGGACACTATAGGAGAGATGAGTTGTTGTGATGCATGGATGGCAGAGCGAATCCACTGATGGACCGAAAGGTGGTTGGAGTTGTGTTTCTTTGGAGTGGTTGCAATGGTTGCAGTGGTCACCTCACCCACAACTGCTGGACGTAGTGTGGTGTAGTGCAGTTGTAGTTGTAGTGTAGTGTAGTGGAGTTGTAGTTGTAGTGCGGTGTAATGATTGTAGTGTAGTTGCAGTAGCAGTTGTTGCTGGTGTTGTTGTTGTTGTGGTGATGGTGGTGGGGTGTATTTAGTGCAGTGTACTTCGTGTAGTGTAGTGTTGTGTACTGCAGTGTAGCATAGTGTAGTGTAGTCTAGCGTAGTGTAGAGTAGTGTAGTTGTAGCTGTAGTGTAGTTGTAGCAGTAGTTGTAGCAGTAGTTGTAGCAGTAGTTGTAGCAGTAATTGTAGCAGTAGTTTTCGCCGTAGTGTAGTGTAATTTGTGTAGCGTAGTGTAGTCTAATGTAGTGTAGTTGTAGTTGTAGTGTAGAGCAGTGTAGTTAGTGTAGCGTAGTGCTGTGCAACGTAGTGTAGTTGTAGTTGTGGAGTAGTGTAGTGTAGTTTAGTGTAGTGTAGTGTAGTGTAATTAGTGTAGCCTAGTGTAATGTAGCTTAGTTATAGTTGTAGTTGTAGTTGTGCTGGCTGTTGTAGTAGCAGCAGCAGCAGTAGTAGTAGTAGTAGCAGTAGTAGCAGTAGTAGTAGTAGTAGCAGCAGTAGCAGTAGCAGTAGCAGTAGCAGTAGCAGTAGCAGTAGCAGCAGCAGCAGCAGCAGCAGTAGTAGTAGTAGTAGCAGTAGTAGTAGTAGTAGTTGTTGTTGTTGTCGTTTTGTGCAATTGCAGTTGTTCTTGTAGTTGTAGTTGTCAATCGATCGATCGATCGATCGATCTACCTATTTATCCGCCTATCTGCCAGCTTGAAAGCGAAGCAATTCTGCAAGACGTCCTCAATTTTCGAAGTTGACAACATCAAAAACGACGCAATTCTGCAAGACTTCCTCAATTTTCGAAGTTGAGAACATCAAAAACGAAGCAATTTGCTAGACTTCCTTCAAAAATGGAAAGTTGAGTGCAGAGCTGACGGCCTCGTACCAATAGGTTTTGCGATGTTTCCATTCCATTTGTCTAAAGTACTGTGCCTGCCACGAAAAAGTTATGCCAGGTCATACCAAGTACTGCGCCCGTCACGCAAAATCATCTTAGCAAACCTCAAGATCTGATGCTCCAAAATGCAAACCCTCTCAGGCCATCAGCGCTCTGACCTCCTAACATCTGATGAACATGTCTCTTGTACTGCGCCTGCCACGCGAAATTCATCTTTCCAGATCCTCGTCAAATGTCCCACACCTGCCAACGCTTTTAAAAACTGCTACAAAACCCGCACGTGTTGCTCGCGTTTGGCAAGGTGCAGAATCCCTTGCGCCTGCAACGCAAAACCACATCTGAACCTTCAAAAGTGGTCCGAGCATGTGATGCTTTTAACATTTTGAAGTGGAAATGTGCTTCGCGCCAACGGCGTGCACTTTTTGACATCTCATCTCAACTTCCAAAAGTGGTCCGAGCATGCCGCGCGGCTTGCGCATTTTGACTTTCAAATGTGCTTCGCGCCACAACGGCGTGCAATTTTTCATATCTCATCTCCCCAGACGGCTCCGCACCCGCCGCTTTAGCGAGCCTATTTTTCGACCCTCCGGAGCTACAAATCATTGGAAAAACGCAATGTTTCGCGACTTTGCTATGACTTGGCTCTTTCTCCTTCTCAGATTCTCTGATCTTCTTTCTTCTCTTCTCTTCTCTGGCTCTTCCCACCTCTGCTTTTTCATCTGTCCATGATGTCGGAAGTTTGACTTCTAAACTTCCTTTGATAAGGCAATATATATATATATAAATATAAATACTGTATATTTGTGTATATATATATATATAAATAAATAAATAGGTAGTAGTACCTCTAATAGATCGGTCCCTGACAGCCATGGATTTCCCCATTCGGCCCCAGGTATTGTGAGGCCAACGGAATCCGCATTACCGCCTATGGGTCCATGTTCTCAGGCGCTGTCACAGGGACGTTTTTTTAAACGCTTGACAGGAAAAGGATAAAACGATAATCATCAGTTAGTAACGCAAATATGATGGTTAGATCAGTGTTTGGACGGCAATGAGAGCAAGGATAGCAATTATATATTTATTCTCATTATAGTCAATAGTAGCGCTGATGTTGATGACGATGATGATGATGATGATGATGATCATGATGATGATGATCATGATGATGATGATGATGATGGTAAACAATAACATAATTTAATTGGGACCACTCTGACTGATCGTCCAAGTTTAGCGCGCCCAAGAATTGCACATACGTTGCTGGTTTTCGAGTATAGCCGCTGTGTCAAATCAACTGATTTTGGGCAAATCTGGCGATCTCTCAAACAGGTGCATGGCTTGTCCCATAGGATCAATGTAGCTGGAACCCGGAATGGTTGCAATGTCTTTCGGCACCTGCAGGCGACATGAAACAGTTGCAGAGGAGAAAGCCGCACTTGACACCGAAATGGCTGTTTGGATGGATTAAGGGCCCTGCCATCGATCATATCCAGCCAAATTCCACTTTTCACGTGCCCTTTGGCAATTTAAGCATATTTGAGCTACGCATGAAACACGACCCGTTGGCAGATGATCTAAACATGGCCATTTTCCAAGGCAACCTGTTGCAGTAGATTGCTATAGGCTACTAGAGCCGTAAACGCGCAGCCCAGAACGGCAACTCCGCCTTTCCAGGAGGGAATTGGTCCAAGTGCAAGAAGCACATCCAGGGCAGTCAGCTGCACAGATACTGCTACGTTGGGCCTTGCAAAAAGGAGCCTTGCACTTGATGCAGGTTCCACTCAGGTAGCAATGACTGTGATTGACTTTTCACTAAATGTCGGTGGCTCATCTTGGATCTCCTTGGGTGATGTCAAATCCAAGGATTCCAGATCATCCCGAAGCAACTTGGATGAAATCATGGTTGCCATATGTTGCCATGGTTCAGTATGGAGGCTTCGACCCCATCGCCGGGGTGCCAGTTGGTTCTGAAATTTGCGTTGACCATCCACGTTTGGTGGTGCCCCAGAGTGATGAATTGGTATGATTTGGTTCAGTACCCATCTAACTATAGTTACTGTATAATCACCAGAAAAGCTGTTTAGTCTGTCTGTCTATGGCTCAAAATTACATTAAATTACGGCACCACCTTGGATAGAGCACCGCTGAGGAGCGTGCATCAGGAGCGCTTGCAAGAGAATATGAAGCTTGACATTGAAGAAGTGGGTTTCAATTGTTTTTTTTCAAGAGAAAAAGCAACCAGAAAATATCAGAACAATGCCATCAAAATCATTATCCAAGTGATTGGGGCCAACTGGCTATATAACCCTCTAAGCTTTCCTTTAAACATCCTTAAACTATCTCAAACTGTTTCAATGAGAATTGACTTGACTTCCGGAGAAAAACAATGGCAGTGATGGGGATAGGGAATGGTTATCAAAAGGGTACTTTCTTTGATGAAACATGGGATATCTTTCATCAACCGGGGACCCAGGAGCTGAACATCTTGAAGCGCATGGATAGGGCGTAGCGCCATGGATGCTTTGCTGCCCAGCTGGCAACAGCTGCAGCAGTGGCCTCATCATTGTCCTTTTTAAAAAAAGGTCCCTTTAGTTTACGATGTTTATTAATTATAGGGGATAGTATATTGGGGATTACACAATATATTGGGGATTATCACTATCCTGTTCTTGATCAACCAGAATAATGAAACGACGGAGGGTTTTGAGCACTGCCCCACTGTAGACAGAATCTGACAGCATCGTTGATGTGTTCAGAGGTTTATCTCCACCCCGGGAAAATCCACAGGCATTGCCCGCCAGCTTTGTTCTGCTGGGAGAATTGTTTACATGTTCCATTTTGAAGGCAGACAAGCTTCCTTTCACTCCTTATGAGGCGGATAAAACAGCAAATAAAACCAAACAACAAAAACGTGAGACCTCTGCTGGGCGCAACTTCCCAGGGCTTCTCCATCCCAACACCTGCCGCCACTGGACTCAGGAACCTCTTGGACTTCGAACTCTCCCCTGCCGAGGTGAAGATTTGGGTTCAAAGCCCACAAGCTAACCTTGAAAGACATCCGCCATTTTAGATCATTTCAGGATGTTAAGGAATGACAAGGATGATGTTGATGTTGTGATGTCCCTATATCACATAAAAGGAAACATGTTTTTTCCGCATTGCCATGCTCATCATTGGCAGATGGAAGGATGCCCCAGCATTTTCCATGCCAAACCTTTAGCAACTGAGCGACAGATGGAGTCCCTGAGCAAGATGAAGGGTGCGCTGGGGCAGTACTGGCCCCTGGGACCGGATATATTTGGGGGTCATTGGTGCTTTCAAATCTTGGCAATGTCAGCAATGATGACTGGCTGGTGAGGATGGGTGATGAGGGTCCAATGAGGGTGTATTAAATATATATATATACATACATACATAATTTATTTAACCAGGGGTAATATGGCAAAGGCAACGGTATTTCCAATTTCACGTGAAATGGTGAGTATAAACCTTCCAAACATTGAGGTTTATGGCATTGGGTTTACCACACATTTCTTAGAATGTGATGATGGATGGTTTCAGAGATATTGTACTTCCCTTTCAATTTGTGGGGATGGAAATGCCAAGGCTTAGTCCAAGAAAACCAGCTGTGAGTTGACTCGTTTGGCGGTGCAGTTGCTGTACACAGATAGCATTAGTGAGTCTAGTGAGTCTAGTGAGTGACGTGTATTGTCTATGGATGTTTGAGGAGAGAGGCGGGGCGTTTATCCAAAAACAGAGACATCAGAAGTTCCATCATGTTTGGAACCTCACTTCTTAGTATGTAATAATAATATGCTACTAAATACACTCCTGACTCCCAGAAGCTTGTTGTAGCATGGGATGTTTGTATTCGGAGGCCGCACTTGTCGCAATCTTTTAAATATATCCTAGGTGGAAGGAATGGATTGAGCTCCAGTGTTTTCCTTGCTACCCAGCCACGTGTCAGGAATCCTCTCAAATCCAAAGTTGATTTGGGGCGAACAGATTTGGGGCGCAAAGCAACGCCAACGTGACATCGCAGAGCAGCGAAATCAGCAAGAGGGGAATGGCTGGCATGTTTTCACCGAAACCAAGTTCAGCTTGGTAGTCAGGGTGGTGATTTAAATCATGTTTAATGTTTAACCTGTGTTTCTCCTGAATGATCCGAACATTTTCATCCTGAAGTCTTTTTGATCCAATAATGTTTGCACCTGATTAAAGAGATGGTACCCTATTGTGAGAAATTTCTTGCTCCTAATTCAGTCACATGCCAATTGTTGGGGGGGGCCTCTATTGTGAGAATTTTTCCAGATTTTTTTAAATATTTTTCCAAATGCTTTAATTAACTTACATTACTTTTCTTTTAATTATTTTTCTATTTATGATTATTTTTAATTAATTTTATTTTAGATGCCTTATCAAACCCTTATTAAAAAAACAGCATCCAGACAATTTTTCAAAGGGGTACCTCATGAGTGGCTCAGTTACTCAATAATATAATTGTTTGGATGGTACTCTATTGTGAGCACCAACTTTTGGGATTGAAAAAAAAAACAAAACCCTTTCTCCACCTTTCTTTGGGTAAAGCTGGCCCTTTCACTTTAGAAAGCCATATTGTGTTAAAGCTTTAAAATGCAAGGTTTTCCAAATAATTAGATGCCTTATTAAACCCTTATTAAAAAACAGCACCCAGACAATTTTTCAAAGGGGATACCTCATGAGTGGCTCAGTTACTCAATAATATAATTGTTTGGATGGTACTCTATTGTGAGCACCAACTTTTGGGAGTGAAAAAAAAAAGCAAAACCATTTCTCCACCTTTCTTTGGGTAAAGCTGGCCCCTTTACTGTAGAAAGCCATAGTTGTGTTAAAACTTTAAAATGCAAGGCTTTCCAAATAATTAGATGCCTTATTAAACCCTTATTAAAAAACAGCATCCAGACAATTTTTCAAAGGGGTAGCTCATGAGTGGCTCAGTTACTCAATAATATAATTGTTTGGATGGTACTCATTGTGAGCACCAACTTTTGGGATTGAAAAAAAAACAAAACCCTTTCTCCACCTTTCTTTGGGTAAAGCTGGTCCTTTTACTTTAGAAAGCCATATTTGTGTTAAAGCTTTAAAATGCAAGGTTTTCCAAATAATTAGATGCCTTATTAAACCCTTATTAAAAAAACAGCATCCAGACAATTTTTCAAGGGGGTACCTCATGAGTGGCTCAGTTACTCAATAATATGAATGTTTGGATGGTACTCTATTGTGCCAAGCAACTTTTGGGGTTGAAAAAAATCAAAAACCCTTTCTCAACCTTTCTTTGAGTAAAGCTGGTCCATTTACTTTAGAAAGCCATATTTGTGTTAAAGCTTTAAAATGCAAGGTTTTCCAAATAATTAGATGCCTTATTAAACCCTTATTAAAAAACAGCACCCAGACAATTTTTCAAGGGGATACCTCATGAGTGGCTCAGTTACTCAATAATATAATTGTTTGGATGGTACTCTATTGTGAGCACCAACTTTTGGGAGTGAAAAAAAAAACAAAACCCTTTCTACACCTTTCTTTGGGTAAAGCTGGTCCTTTCACTTTAGAAAGCCATATTTGTGTTAAAGCTTTAAAATGCAAGGTTTCCCAAATAATTAGATGCCTTATTAAACCCTTATTAAAAACAGCATCCAGACAATTTTTCAAAGGGGTACCCCATGAGTGGCTCAGTTACTCAATAATATAATTGTTTGGATGGTACTCTATTGTGAGCACCAAGTTTTTTGGAGTGAAAAAAGAAAACCCTTTCTCCACCTTTCTTTGGGTAAAGCTGGCCCTTTCACTTTAGAAAGCCATAGTTGTGTTAAAGCTTTAAAATGCAAGGTTTCCCAAATAATTAGATGCCTTATTAAACCCTTATTAAAAAACAGCATCCAGACAATTTTTCAAGGGGATACCTCATGATTGGCTCAGTTACTCAATAATATAATTGTTTGGATGGTACTCTATTGTGAGCACCAACTTTTGGGAGTGAAAAAAAAATAAAAGTAAATTAACAGTAAATTGAAATCAATTGAAAGTAAATTGAAAGTAAAGTAAAAGTAAATTGAAATCAATTGAAAGTAAGTTGAAATCAATTGAAAGTAAATTAAAGTAAATTGAAATCAATTGAAAGTAAATTGAAAGTAAATTAAAAGTAAATTAAAAGTAAATTGAAAGTAAATTGAAAGTAAATTGGAAGTAAATTGAAATCAATTGAAAGTAAATTAAAAGTAAATTGAAATCAATTGAAAGTAAATTGAAAGTAAATTGAAAGTAAATTAAAAGTAAATTGAAAGTAAATTGAAAGTAAATTGAAATCAATTGAAAGTAAATTAAAAGTAAATTGAAATCAATTGAAAGTAAATTGAAAGTAAATTAAAAGTAAATTAAAAGTAATTAAATTAATTAAAAGTAAATTGAAATCAATTAAAAGTAAATTGAAATCAATTGAAAGTAAATTGAAATCCTTTCTTAAGTTGATTGACCAAAAAAATGTTGGGGGGGGGCAAAAAAAAGTGCGAGTTATAGAGTACCCTCAAATTGTTTAGGGGGGGGGGCCCTCAGACTAATCAGATGCAAACATTATTAATCTTTGCAAGGAGATGCCTTTGCTTTGTGTTTTTTCCCAGCGATTTTGTTAAGCGATGGCTCTTGAAGTGACGTGTCTCATGTCCATTCTTAAACTTTTGCTTGAACTGTTTGTCCAGCGTTGGAAAGACAAGACAAAACCACAATGGATGTGCACTGGGCACATCAACATGATACTTTGAGACTATCCTCTGGTAAACGTTTACATAAATATGGAAAATCACCTTTTTTTCATGGGTAAATCAACTAGGTCTATGGCAATTTTCAATAACAAACTGTTTGTTTACCAGAGACTATCTAACCATTTGCGGCACAAAATTTGGCAACGTGTCAGCTGCAGGATGCCTTGGTCCGGGATCTGAAGAACGAAATCTTGGAGCTCAGGAAACAGCTGGAGCAGGTGCCGGGTGCCCCGTGTTGCGTTACGGCCCCGAGATCTAGATCGTATTGGGTGGAGAGATTTCATGTCGAAACCTCCATGTGAATATTGAATCTGATATGTGTAATGCGTAGCAATGTAAAATGCAACGCATAGAAATTCCTTAATTATACTTAGTTAATCGGACGCGTAAAATTATTCGACATGACATCGGTGTGGGTTTGAATGTGGACCCGTGTGATTTAGATAACAAGTTTTCCAACTATTTGGAAGGGTCTTTGCTAGTTGGAGCAGCTCCCTTCCCAACAGACAGATGGTTATTTTGGGCTCCCACTCCCACGTGGAGAGTTTTATGATTGAAGATGAAGAAGCATGGTTTCCATTTCACATAGATTAATAATGATTCCTATTGTATATGATGGTTTAATCCATACTGATAGTATTACTAATTATTAGTATATAGTACATGGGCTTAAACATGGTATATTAGTATATGATTAGTTTAAGCCCATAGTATGTTCTGGGATCAGGTGCCTCTCGCAGTTTTCCCTTGCCGTATCGGCAGGCCAAAGAGAAACACGACGACGAGGTGGGGTACCAGTCGGACAGCTAACTGGAAAAAAACATCCCCGTGTTGTGCCGTTACGCATAGAAAAATAACATCATGTGTTTACTTTTGGATGCCTCCCGTTTTGTTACTTGGATAGTCATTGTTGACCCATTGTTGTTTACATATTAACACCCGCCTTGTTCTTGTTCTTGTTGTTGTTGTTGCTGTTGTTGTTGTTGGTGGTGGTGGTGTTGTTGTTCTGGTTCTTGTTCTTGTTGTTGTTGTTGTTGCTGGTGGTGTTGTGGTTGTTGTTGCTGGTGGTGGTGGTGCTGTTGGTGTTGGTGTTGGTGTTGGTGTTGTTGTTGTTGCTGTTGTTGTTGTTGTTGTGGTTGTGGTTGTTGTTGTTGTTGTCGTTGTTGTCGTCGTCGTTGTTGTTGTTGTTGTTATGTTGTTATGTTGTTATGTTGTTATGTTGTTATGTTGTTATGTTGTTATGTTGTTATGTTGCTGTTATGTTGTTGTTATGTTGTTGTTATGTTGTTGTTATGTTGTTGTTATGTTGTTGTTATGTTGTTGTTATGTTGTTGTTATGTTGTTGTTATGTTGTTGTTGTTGTTGTGGTGGTGGTGTTTGTCGTCTAACAAAAACATTCCCCATCAAATCAGATTAGTTCTACGTGCCTGCAGGGGAAAAAACATATTCGTTGTTTATTAACACACCATTTCTTGGTCAACCAATCCATTTTGCTTGGCAGCTCTCATATTTAGATGGGTTAGTGGGTGTGCTAACTGGTGATTGTACTGTAAGCCTCAAACAGAAGAGGGTATACTTCATGGGTCAACTCAACCAAATTACGACCACCAGGTAGCTCGCAATCCATTACCCTTCCAAGTAGCTATAGATTTCCTTGTTTAAATCCACTGCGCTACTTGTAATGGTCCCCACTGAACTACTAATCAGAAATCAACCGATTATTAGTTAACGACCCTTATCATTTTGCAGCGCCATTAACCTCCAGTTGTACAGTATATCCAGTTTTAGTTAACTTATTATTTTCAGATTAGCCATTTGTATCATCATCATTTTTTACATGCCATTATTACTAGTCTGAATTATTATGTTTTATTACGGGGAGAGAATGTTATTGTCTTGTTATTATCGTTTTTTTTACATATCCATTACCGCTACCATTATTATCACTGATGTCACAAGTAATTTACCTCACCCTATAGACCATGAATATATATATATATACCATAAACTCAACAAGTCAGTTGGGATTATGTTCTCCAACTTATCGTTCACGAACCGGAAAACCACCTAACGTACTGAACCATTATTGTTTTGTTTTGTTAATACTTTAGTTTCATTATTCTCATCGATTCTTGGGACTGTTAAAACCATAATTGCTATCGGCTATGGTTATTATCAGATGAATTCCACATGTCTGCAGGTAAACAAACGTATTCTTGGTTCATAGAAAACACCATTCTTTACCACTATTACCAGCACTTATGTTCAACTTGGCCAGGCCTTAAAGGAGATTGCTGATCACCTGGAGGCCAGCCATGCCATCGTGGCCGCGCAGACGTTGCTCGGAAGTCATCTCGGTGAGGTGTACCGTGTTTCCATTGGGGGAGAATGACCACAAAAAATTAGGATCTTATTGCGAAATTAACGGCATGGAATGGAATGTTGATGGGATTTATGGGATTTAACGGAATGTTCCTGTGATTTTATGTGGTGTGATAATAATTTTCAAGGTTTTCCTTGTTTTAATGGGATTTTCAATGTAATTAAATTAAGAACCGACCAGGAATACATCAGAATACTGTATACTGAGGATACTGACTGGGGACTCTATGAACTGGATCGCACATGAGATGTTTAGCGTTTCTGGGATTTGGTGGATTGACCACCTATGTCGAAGGGGAGATTGCGAACTGGCCATCGGTTTGGGAGCTCTTTGCAGTCAGGGATGATAAGATTTTTTGCAGTCAGGGATGATAAGATTTTTTAGGGGGAGCTTAGGAGCCCATTTAACCCCAATGGCCAAATGTTTTTGAACATGAATATCAGCAACATCTCATTGGATGCCTCAATGGAAATGCAGGGCTTCAATTTAAATTGTTTGAACATAGAATTGTGCCTGGAATGGAAGAGATAAATATCATATTCACATGTAGCACTACACAACTAAGGGTTGCGGTTCCCTTAAAAAAAGCACGTGTACGTGCCATAAATGTCCCAGTTCCGAGCGCTCCCGTCCATGTTCCTTCGATATCCTTCGATATGACATTGCATCCCAGTTCCCAGAGGATATAGGAAAGTAGCGCAACTTCGGAGCGGTAAGCTAACATAGCGATAGAAAATCACCATTTTGAATAGGTAAACCAATTATATATAAATGGGGTATTTTCAATAGATGTTAAATTACCAGAGGGTACATCATTACTTTTTCATACTTTTTCAACCTGAAATGGTAATGATGATGAGGATGGTGATGGTGATGGTGATGATGATGAGCATATTGCAAAATCATTTGTTTCACTGGGATGAAACCACTAATCATAATTATCATAGGCCTTTGACGGAGAAATTCATTTTACCAACACACCAATTTGAGAGAACATCCCAAATGGAATTTTACCTGCCAGTTGAAGATACAAGTTCAAACATAATGAATCCCTAGGGCTATCTAGCCACCCCCACTGAGACTTTGGATGAACATAAGCCAATTACTGTTTACTTCTAGAGATTGATTTTTAAGTAGTGATGCTTCACTCCAACATAGGTGGAGCGAATGGATTTGGCAAAGAAAACAATATGTATCCCTAAGTCCATTGGTTGCTTGGTTAACCATCATTTTCCAATTAAAAAATTGCAATTCTCGGGGCAGATCCCATTTTCAGACACACCCATATGTCATGTATTGTTGGTAATACATCGCATTATATTTCCATTCTATCCACATGATATGCCCACGACTGTTGCGCAATCTCATTCAACCTTAGTAAATTCCACTAAATCCAATTACATCACGAGGAACAGGCACACACCGCAAGCATCGCTGCCAAGGCGTGATTGGGTCGACTTTGAAGAGGCCGTTTGTGGATGTCCAACGCATGGTGAAAATTGTTGACATGCTGACATCAAACAACGACAATTAACGATAGTGAGAACACCCATCACCATCACCATCACCATCATCATCATCATCATCACCATCACCATTAATTCATCATCATCATCATCATCATCACCATCATCATCATAAATGCGTTCTGATTTGTGCGCATATGATATGATTTGGAAATGAACCTACCTTTTTGTGATTATGGTAAAGAAGGGGGCAAAAACAGGACTCTCATTGACCATGGCGATCAAAGACAGACGAAATGTTGCAGAAAGAAAGCGCGACATATCCACCAATTAGGGGTCTACCAGGCAAAGATGTAGGTCAGATACAGCTCTTACAGTAGTCTGTACCCCACAAGAAAGGAAGGTAAACAAAAGTCCCCTTTACACATTTCTTCTGGATATCTTGCATGTTTTGCATAACTGACAGGGTGATATTTCACGTTGTTTTTGAATGCCACGGCTGGGCTAATAGCTGAATCACTGGGGAGAAGAGGGGTTTATCCCTCGCTAGACTTGGGAGATCCTTAGGAGTGGGAAACAACATGTCCAAAGGTAAACCATTTAAAAAACTGTTCAAAACGTGTGTCATTAATCCACATACATGTATGTATATATTTATGATTATATATATAAACACATATTTATACACCATCTATTACCTTCAACCCGTTTCCAGAGGCATAGGTCTATACTATGTTCAAAAAATATGAAGGCGTCCCCGCTAGTGTACTTTTGTTACATGATATGTGATAATGTTTTTTGCAGATGACCGGAGTCACGGAAACAAACAGGATGTGTTGTAAGTATACCTGGTAAGAACAATTAGAAACCCCAATGTTACCAGAAGGTGGGATATAAAAGCTGGTAGATAATTCTACACCCCCAACTTGAGGATATCGGAGGTTTGTGGTTTATCATTGGCTTAATATTTGCTCACCCTAGCCCCAGGGGGGCAGCCCTTGAGCACAGGAAAACGCCGAGCTCAGTAAGAAGCGCGCTCGAAGTTTTATCAGATCGCAGGGTGTCACAGTGCCAGGCTCATTCCGTTGCCATTATGTCATGGTCAAAATACCAGGTTGATGAATGCAAAAAATACAGTGGATACCCTCTGGTAAACTAACATAGCTATTGAAAATGGCCATTTATAGTGGATTTTCCCGTTAAAAATGGTGATTTTCCACAGCTATGTTAAATTACCAGAGGGTAAGACAAATGGTCACTGGGGGTATATACATCATCACCTTCCAGTTCAATTATATAAAACAATGAATTTGATTGATTGGATTACCATTTTTGACCAAAGCACATGCACAATGATATGCAAATCCGCCATTGCATTTTGACCTGTTGGCAACCATTCTTTGCCTGGAGTGTATTGGATGATGTGTCAACATGTTGTATTTTCCTTTAGATTCTCTTGAAGTCGAAGGTGGCAAGTGAAAACCCAGTTGTCTCCGTAGCAGTGGAAGGAAGTATGACACCAGCATATATTTTTTCCCTCCGACCTGTTATGTAATCACAAAGTGGCCCCACCCCCCGGAAACATGAGCTGGTTAACAAAGAAAAACCCTTCGACACACCTACCGCAAACATCCAGAAACCCTATATATATATATATGTCTATATGTAATGTATATATATATATATCGTGTGTAATATATATATATATATAAATGTATATATATATATATATAAATGTATATATATATATATATAAATGTGTATATATATATATATAAATATGTAAATATATATATATATGATGGTTATTGGAATTATGAACAAAATTAGCTCTCCTGCCTCCCCCACCTAACGTACAAAGTGGGCGTACAAAGCGGGGCCCCTAGATAATCAGATAGCTAAGTCAAGTTGTTTATAACTCCAAGAGCATCCAAGAATTATGGTTTATGATGCTCATAACACCTAACATATTTTTTTAAATGCTTTTTGACCAACATCACTTTTGGGGTGCCCCACCCTTGAACGAAAAGATCATCATCCGTCCCCGGACGAGCAGCCGAGGTCTTCCCACGAGATGTTTCCTTACTTGGCCAACCACTCGGAGGATGGGTATACACACATATGCATCATGTGCATGTTTTTGTCTACACATAATGTATAGGAAAATATAGAAAATACGTATATCTATGCAGTATATACGTAATTTTGGGGTCATATGTTGGGCATATCCTTCCAGCTCACCAGAGATGAGGATTGAACAGATCTAACAATGACATGGGTATCTCTGAGTAAGACAAGGAGGCGTCTAACTGTGAGACATGGAGACGGACATCCTTTGTTACATTGTTGCATGCCAACCACTTGGCTGGGTACTCACTCAGAGAACCTCATTATCATAGTTTTTTGCATTTAATTAGTAGTTGAAATATGTGGAAACCCAGTTATTAATTAGTGCATCAACCCATAAGTCATCCATTGTACTGTTCTTCGGCAGGTGGTTAACATTATGAAGTGATTCTACTATCCCAGCACCCAACTATATAATTGAGCGGAAGATGAACCATTGACATGCCGATGGATCGCCAGGACCCCCACCTTTGTTTTAAGTTGGTGATGCACGTGCCTCGTTTTGAAAGTGCTACTCAATGGATTGGTTTAAGGGAAAAACTTACTTGTGCTTAGTGGGGAATGAGGGAATGATCCACAATAACTATCAATAATAATCCCATTCCCCCATACCCCAGCAACCCCCATTCCCATCCATTCCCTACTAAGCACCAGTAAGAAAATTACAGGAAAATCCCCATATTTCATGGAAAAACGGGTGTCCTGTGTCGATTTTCCCACCAATCCATTGAGCTACCATCGGGGTTAACCGACGAACGACGATCAAATTGGGTATATAACGACCTCACGTCGCGACGTCACTGGAATCATGGTTAGTATTTCTGGTTGGTGGTTTGGAGCATTTTTTATTTTCCACAATATATGGGATAATCCTTCCCATTGACGAACTCATATTTTTCAGAGGGGTAGGTCAACCACCCACCAGATTTGCTCAGATCAATGGTGGTTGATACATGTTACTTGGAGCATAGCTCCACAGTGGTTGAGAATCAGAGGTTTTCCTGTCATTGATGGGACAACCCACTGGGATTTAGCAACCAAGGTTATTAACCACCTACTCAATGGAATGATCCTCCAAGTAGGGCAATGCATGTTGCTGTGTTGTTGTCGCCTTTTTTTGTTTCAGATATCTGCATTCACACGTATGTGGACTGGTTCAGTCATGTTCAGCCCACACTGGTATCTCAAACGTTGAGAAACTGTACTTGTATCAATAAAGTGCTGTACTGTTGTTTTTGCGCTTGGGTGGGTCAGCCAATTTGTTTCTTTCTTTCCTTTGACAAACTGCGGTGACCACAACAATCCATTTGGGGGGTTCTGTCACCTCAACAAGCCTACAAGCCTTGCACAAATCTATGTAGACCTGGTACATTGAATTGCTTTACCATGATCTTCTGGGAAAAAATCTTACAGTTTCGTGCCCAGATTATCACTTTGAGGTGCCAGAAGGAAAGGAGCAGTCCCTGGGGGCAGGCACAGGACTTTTCGGATCTTCCGCACATAGCATGGGTTTGCTTTAGTGATTTTAATGGGATTTATATAATGGGGTTTAATCTGCGTTTATATGGTATTTACTTGCATTTAATGGGATTTAACCATCAACAATGGGGATTATGGAGGTACACATATTGATAAATTACAGCAACCTCACGTCGTGATGTCACTGGAATGATGGCTAGGACAGGGGTAACTACCCAACATAGCCGAACGTTGCAGGGCAAAGTTTTTTTTTAATGATTTACCAAGTGGATTCGCAATATATGCAAATCTTTTATTACCCAAAGAATTTGAGAGACATTCTTGGAAAATTGTGTTTTTGGTGCTGTCCATGCACGGGCCCTATCTAAAGGGAATCACAATTTATCTTGGCATGGTTAAAGTTAAAAGCACACTCACAAAGAAACAAAGAGCACACAAACAAATAAAATATGTTTCGGGGACAACTTTGATCAAACCATAATCAGGCTAATCTGGAAAACACGCGACGACTTGCCAAGACAACGTTTATTTGAGTTGAATGCCGTTGACCGGATGGATTATGGCCATAGACAACTTGATTTTTTGGTGTTTTGGTTAGATGGATTTACCCAAATTTGCCACAGCCACTGAAAGTTCAGCCATAAATCCATAACTTAAGATTTAAGTGAACAGGATTTGGCTCAACCACCTAAGTTGATCTCCACGCCATTTGGTCGCCAGATATCTCCAGCGACTTCCGGCTGCCACCTGCCTTGGGTGTGTGCGAGACCACGGGCTACATCCGAAACCAAGGAGGTGTGTCCGTTCCGGATTCAGCCGTAACCCCTGAGGCCAGTAGTCTGGACCCATAGTCATGGATGATGTGGGGCTTGATGGAGGGGGAGTCTCATGAAGGCTTGAATTCTTCGGAGTGACCAGCTCTCGGAATAAGTAAGTGGATAAGATAAGTGGTGCTGAGTGCATATATCGCATGGATAACCTTTGCACAACAATATAGCCATAGCTGGATGGCTCTGATCGACCCGGCCCGGTATGCATCTCAGACTACTAACCTTACTTAGATGATGGGCCATGCTTAGTTGGCTAGCTGATGGGTAATAGTAATCATATGTTATCATATTTAACATAGATATGGAAAGCCATGGTTTCCCCAGGAAATCATCTTTTTATTGGTGGGTTTTCCATGTGGATTAACCTTATAGGCTGCGCACAAAAGAAATTTCCAGCCATGAATCAGTGCTGGAATGATTACTATATTCATTTTCACTCTGCATTGCCAATGGAATCTCATGGGATTCATGAGGTTTTAAGACTCAAATCTTATCAAATCCAATGGAATCTTGTGGGTTCCATGAGATTTTACAATTTAAATCTTATCAAAACTCATCATATCCAAAATGTTATGGCTCAATGGTTCAGAAGGTGCTTATTATTAAGAAGGTCTACCCTGGCCTATAGGGGGGGTATTAATCCGGTGTCGGCATTATAACATTATGACCAAGCTAAATGATATTATCCAGTCTTATCCCCTTTTTGTGAAAATGATTATTGCCTATTCATTTTCATCCCAAAGGGACCCCTCATGTATAACGGATATTTGTCCGACAAAGCTTTGCGGTGGCTCATCCATATTGGATCTGGATCCGGTGGCAGGTTGCTTGACCCTCCGACCCGCTGCAGCTCCCAGTGGGCGCAGTGGGCGCTTCGCGAGCATCGAGGATTCTGGGATTCCTGTGGGATGGATATGATGGATGACTAACTAAGCCCACATGTTTTCGCACCATTTTTTTAATTCGGGATTGGACATGAACTAACCAACTAAAATTGGGACTTCGTCAACGAAATTGAGATTTCAGCAATAGAGTAGAAAAAAGTAGGGCTAATCACCAACAAGTTAATTGATGATCATTTGGATGGGTTGTACGTACCTTACCGCCACGTTTCGGATTGGTGCAACTATCCCGAAATGAAATATGATGAAATGATCCAACCATCACTTCTGGATCCTTTATTCTACAATAATCTATCCCCAATGTTGGTTGCTTCACATCACCGTGCGTTTTCTGAGTTCGGCAATTCGGGCAGGGCATCGCCACCAGTTGGTCCCAGGGATTTGAACTGGGGCCGGTTAAGCTAGGCAGTTGGAAACCCAACGGACCCTTTTGTTGGTTAAAAACACAAACGCCGTGCATGGTTTTAAAAAAAATATGGGTTCATTATGTGTTCCCTGACATTTTAACTTCGCCAAGTGACTTCACAGGTGAATGGCAACAAATTGTCCAGGGAACAAGAACTGCATCACTTAGTCCCTCGGCGAAGCTTACCGTCTCCGGTACCCCGTGTGGGTCATGATGGGTCCATGCCCGCTAAGGAAGGGACACTCAAAGGGAGCAATGGGACATCAAGCGCTCTTCGGTTAGCAACGGTTACTAGCCCCGGACCAGTCATGACTTTGTTTAATTTTTAACTAACTCTCATTCAGTGTAGATAATATATCTACCATAAAGCCTAGTTCTTGGAATGATCTTCACCAAAAATCACCAACTTAGCTAACATTTTGGACCACAACACCATTTTGTAGCCAATTATCAGGTGGAATACTATTCTCGATTGCCACGTTAATCCCATCAAACGATACCCTGTTGATTGTTACTTGGCTACCGCTTCCCGATTTTGGTTTTGCTAATGATTGGGTTTATGGATGTTTATGGTAGGCAATCGTAGGTATGTGTTTTTCTTTTGTGTGTGTGAGATGGATGAACACAAACCAACAAACACAAGTGTGCGGGCGCGTACACATGATGAGCCATAATTAATCAAGATCAAACTTGATCAATGACCCTATGACCAATCACAACTATAGAAAGCACAAACATTTTTGCATGACTGACCAGATACCCGTGCCTTGGTGGTTAAAGTCACTTTCTGTTTCTTTGTTATACTTTGGGTTCTAGCCCTATTCAACCCCATCAATCTCAAGATGTTCAGCTTCGGATGGAGACTGAGGACTGCGTCCTCTTCGGTCGTTCCACCAGCTTCTACGTCTTCCTCCAACACGCCTCAGCTGAGGCGCAAACTTCGGTGGGTGAAGTTTTGGTCGACGAATCTCATGGGAAATGCTAATTTTTGACTCAGCTATTGGATAGGATATCTATAATAAATTATAATGATATAATTATAGAATATGCAAAATTTATGCGCATGTATATGTATAATAGATATATGCGTATATTATATGTAACCCATTATATAGTAATACTCTCCGGACATTTAAGCTGGCGTCATGAAAAGATAGCATTGGGATTTCCCAGCCATGTTTGATTACGCCAGGGTACAGCAGCATCATCTACACATGAGTGAAATTCATGGTCATGTTATGTCATGTTACCTCTCCATGGAAATTCCAATACCAGAATTCTGATATTCTTAGTTGGTGCCAAACTTGTGGTCGTTGGAGAACTAGTTGTATTCGTATCAGCCCGGTTGATAGTTTCAAAGATGATCCAGTTGATCAGTTCCTTTCGGGGCGGGTTGAACACTTGACACTTCACAAGGAAAGAGTGCAGTTTCTTTCGGATGTCTTGCTTCCGGAATGCTGGTGAAATGTGGAGGCATGTTAGATGATATTAAATGAAGAAACATCCGAATACGTTCCATGTGAGATATAGCTGAAGTACCCCCACACTCAAGTCAAAGCCGGTGAGGATAGGACCATGGTCATCTCACAAAACGGCTGCTGCCTGAAATCACGGCGTAGCATGGTAGAGGACCGTGATCCGCACGATAAATGTTTAAGGATACAATCATTGCAAACAATGCATTTGCCATCCCATATACGCACATGTATTCATTTAATAATATTGCATATATATATAATTATATATATATACAGTATATATAGAGGGTAGTCATAGTATATTATGTATAATCGAGTGCTAATATTAGTCTGAGTTATATATATATACAGAATAATATGTATATAATTATATGTATATATGCAGTTCTGTATTTATTCAAAAGCCATTGTTGCACATGAATCCTCATTGCTGGACGTACCACAGGAAGTGGACGAAAGGCTACGTGCCTCCCGCGCGGATATGGAGGTGCAATGCCCATAGAATCGGTGGAATCACCTGTACTGTGGTAAACCATGGTAAACCCAATGCCATAAACCATCCCCAAGTCATCACCATTGGATGCTGCAAACCATCCTCAAACGGTTTATGGATGTTTATGGCATTGGGTTTCCCACATTAATTGCAGTATTTCATGGAAAAAACATTGTTTCCGCGTGTTTCCGCTGTATATGTTTAAATGAATCCATTGATTGCTGGGTGAGCCTTCGTTTGGCAGGTGAACCTGGGTTGTTTTGTTACCATTTTGATGGGAAAAACAGGCTAGATAACCAGCAAACACTCAGCTTTTTTGCAGGGGTTCCAAGATTAGCTATGGTGTGAACCACTTAAAAAAGGGATAGGAACCAACCAACGTATCGAGAGATCAGACAGAAATTGCAGCTCTTTGATAAATTAGTCTTGGGCAATTCCAGGTTTTTTCCCGAGAGCGCCTGCGAAGGGTTCTTCGTAAAAAAGCAGCCGTTATACTAGATCTTCACACCTTCACACCTGCAGATCTAGATCTTCACACTCTCACATCTGCCGATCTACATCTTCACACCTTCACATCTGCTGATCTACATCTTCACACCTTCACACCTGCAGATCTAGATCTTCACACCTTCACACCTGCAGATCTAGATCTTCACACCACATCTGCTGCATCTAGATCTAGATCTTCACACACACCTGCAGATCTAGATCTTCACATCCTCACACCTGCAGATCTAGATTTTCACACCCTCAGCAGATCTAGATCTTCACACCTTCACACCTGCAGATCTAGATCTTCACACCTTCACACCTGCAGATCTAGATCTTCACACCCTCACATCTGCAGATCTAGATCTTCACACCCTCACACCTGCAGATCTAGATCTTCACACCCTCACACCTGCAGATCTAGATCTTCACACCTTCACATCTGCAGATCTCCTCTCGCTCTTCTTCTATTCTCTCTTAAGGCGGGGGCGGTGCCGCCGGAGTGCCACGAAACGCAACCCTTTCGCACGAAATGGACATTGGACGTCCAAAACCTAGGTAAAATTGCGATTTTGATGCGTCGCGCGCAACCTTTTCGCACGAAATGGACGTTGGACGTCAAAAACTGCGGAAAAACTGCAACTTTTATTGGTCGCGCGCAACCCTTTCGCACGAAATGGACGTTGGACGTCAAAAACTGAGGAAAAATTGCAACTTTTATTGGTCACGCGCAACCCTTTCGCACGAAATGGACGTTGGACGTCAAAAACTGAGGAAAAATTGCAACTTTTATTGGTCGCGCGCAACCTTTTCGCACGAAATGGACGTTGGACGTCAAAAACTGAGGAAAAATTGCGACTTTGAGGTGTCCCGCGCAACCCTTACGCACGAAATGGACGTTGGACGTCGAAAACTGAGGAAAAATTGCGACTTTGAGGTGTCCCGCGCAACCCTTACGCACGAAATGGACGTTGGACGTCAAAAACTGAGGAAAAATTGCGACTTTGAGGTGTCAATCGCAACCCTTTCGCACGAAATGGACGTTGGACGTCAAAAACTGAGGAAAAATTACGATTTTACTTGGTCAATCGCAACATATCGCAACCCTTTCGCACGAAATGGACGTTGGACGTCAAAAACTGAGGAAAAATTGCGATTTTACTTGGTCAATCGTAACCCTTTCGCACGAAATGGACGTTGGACGTCAAAAACTGAGGAAAAATTGCGATGGACGCTTTCGTTTCTGTACAAGTGTCTGTGTGTAAAAGCGTCTGTGTGTAAAAGCGTTTGTGTGTGAAAGCGTCTGTGCGTGTGTAAAAAGCATCTGCGTGCAAAAGCGTCTGTGTGTAAAAGCGTTCGTGTGTCAACGCGTCTGTGTGTAAAAGCGTTTGTGTGTGAAAGCGTGTGCGCGTGTGTAAAACGCATCTGCGTGTAGAAGCGTCTGTGTGTAAAACCGTCTGTGTGTAAAAGCTTTTGTGTGTAAAAGCGTCTGTGTGTACAAGCGTCTGTGTGTAAAAGCGTTGCGTCTGTGTGTAAAAGCGTCTGTGTGTAAAAGCGTTTGTGTGTAAAGGCTTTTGTGTGTCAAAGCGTCTGTGTGTCAAAGTGTGTTTGTGTAAAAGCACCATGTGTAAAAGCGTTTGTGTGTAAAAGATTTTGTGTGTACTTTAACCGCACGACATGAAACTGTTAGAGATTGAGGGTGACAATGCTTGCTAGTGTATCCGTGCTAGGACGTGCGGAGCTTGGTTCGTTTGGTGTGGTAATCTGTGTGGGAATTGATATGTTCATAGTGAGCTTCACTGTTCAGTTTGCATGTCTATGCGACAATGATTTTTGCTTGTCAAACGCAGGAGTCGTGGTCTCAGGCTTCGAACAACACATTCTTTGCATTGAATTGTGCGAGTGTGTAGCAGGTTAGTGCATGAAGTTGTAGAAGTTACCAAGTACCTCTTTCCTGGGCTCAGACGTGAACGTAGAGACAAGATGCATTGTGCACAGAGTGAACATCCATATTCTTATATGTACGCTGAATGTTCGTGAAACAAGTGACGATTGGCAAACGGGTATCTGTAACATTTCTTGCACTTCTCGAGTTTTCTGTAGGGGCTGTCCGTGAGATCTCGAGAATTGCATTGTGACAATGTCAGTGTTTGTTTACGATGCAGTGGATCTATGTGATGTATACCACAAAAAAATATATGTGATGTTTTCATTGAAATGCATGAGCAGTGGACAAAAAAATACTACGGGAATCATTGTACCGTTCAATATTGTACCGTTCAAGTTTGTTTTGAAATCAAGCATGTCATGGCATTGTTTTTCAAAGCAAGCGAACAAATATGCATGTCTCGGAATTTCTGAATGCAAAATGTTTGTTTGAAGTCACGCACCCGTGACGTTTGTGGACGTTTTGTGGTCGCTGTTCCATTTGCTGACGGGAACGTCTGTGCGAATGGAGCATGGGACCGCGTCATCCGCGTCGTCCGATGCTGTGGAAATTCGGATGCAGAGGCATTGCGAGATGATGCAAGATGGTGTTGCCGAGCTGCTGAGTTTTTTGTTACCGAGCTTTGTTAACCTAGTTTTTTGCTGATGCGTTTAGCCTTCAGTTCGCAGGTCTCTGCGACAGTGGTTCTTTGCCATGTCAAACTCATGAGTGGTGTTCTCAGTTTGGAAGTCAGAGAACAAACGCTTTGCAGTGGATTGTGCAACTCTGCAGTGACAAGCATAGTTTACCTCTTTACCTCTTTCCTGGGCTCAGAGGTGAACGTAGAGCCGAGATGCATTGTGCACAGAGTGAACATCCATATTCTTATATGTACGTTGAATGTTCGTGAAACAAGTGACGATTGGCAAACAGGTATCTTTAACATTTCTTGCACTTCTCGAGGTTTCTGTAGGGGCTGTCTGTGAGATCTCGAGAATTGCATTGTGACAATGTCAGTGTTTGTTTACGATGCAGTGGATCTATGTGATGTATAGGACAAAAAAAATATATGTGATGTTTTCATTGAAATGCATGAGCAGTGAACAAAAAATACTACGGGAATCATTGTACCGTTCAATTTTGTACCGTTCAATTTCGTTTTGAAATCAAGCATGTCATGGCATTGTTTTGAAAGCAAGCGAACAAATATGTATGTCTCGGAATTTCTGAATGCAAAATGTTTGGTTGAAGTCACGCACCCGTGACGTTTGTGGTCGTTTTGTGGTCGCTGTTTCATTTGCTGAAGGGAATGTCCGTGCGAATGGAGCATGCGACCGCGTCATCTGCGTCGTCCGATGCCGTGGAAATTTGGTTGCAGAGGCATTGCGAGATGATGCAAGATGGTGTTGTCGAGCTGCTGAGTTTTTTGTTGCCGAGCTTTGTTATTAAACTAGTTTTTGGTTGATGCGTTCAGCCTTCAGTTTGCAGGTCTCTGCGACAGTGGTTCTTTGCCATGTCAAACTCATGAGTGGTGTTCTCAGTTTGGAAGTCAGAGAACAAATGCTTTGCAGTGGATTGTGCAACTCTGCAGCGACAAGCATAGTTTACCTCTTTACCTCTTTCCTGGGCTCAGACGTGAACGTAGAGACAAGATGCATTGTGCACAGAGTGAACATCCATATTCTTATATGTACGCTGAATGTTCGTGAAACAAGTGACGATTGGCAAACAGGTATCTTTAACATTTCTTGCACTTCTCGAGGTTTCTGTAGGGGCTGTCTGTGAGATCTCGAGAATTGCATTGTGACAATGTCAGTGTTTGTTTACGATGCAGTGGATCTATGTGATGTATAGCACGAAAAAAATATATGTGATGTTTTCATTGAAATGCATGAGCAGTGGACAAAAAATACTACGGGAATCATTGTACCGTTCAATTTTGTACCGTTCAATTTTGTTTTGAAATCAAGCATGTCATGGCATTGTTTTGAAAGCAAGCGAACAAATATGCATGTCTCGGAATTTCTGAATGCAAAATGTTTGGTTGAAGTCACGCACCCGTGACGTTTGTGGACGTTTTGTGGTCGCTGTTTCATTTGCTGAAGGGAATGTCTGTGCGAATGGAGCATGCGACCGCGTCATCCGCGTCGTCCGATGCCGTGGAACTTCGGTTGCAGGAGCTGCGTAGCAGTGCTGTGACCAGGGGTCGTGAATGGCTCCAGGATGCCCTGGCACAAATTTCTGTAATGGAGCTTCGCAAAATGGCACAGGCTCGGAATGTTGGCCGTGGACCGGACAAGAAGTGGTTTGCGGTTGGAGAGCTGCGCGCTCGATTGCTGGATGTCTTGGCACCTCCAACGCAGGTCCGGTGGGGCAGACTAGGATTGTGACGAAAGTTGCATGTTTGTCACATGGTGCGATGTTGTAGGATGATGGTGGTTTTGTGTTGGCAGTGTGTCGGATGCCGTAGGTGGACGAGGCATCGGCTGCCAAATTGGAAGAACTTCGCCTTGGAGCTGTTTCACAGGGCAAGGAGTGGCTCAGTCGTTCTTTGGACGAAATGCGAAAAGAGGAGCTTCGAGTCCTGGCTACTGCGGGTGGTGTGGAGACACGATCCGGCAAGGCGTGGCTGCCTGTAGCAGAGCTGCGCAACTCGTTGATGAAAGTCTTGGAACCCTCCACGGAGGTTGGGTTCAACCAAAAATGTGTTTTGACGTGAGTTGTTTTTGTGACCGAATTTGAATGTTTGTCACATGGTGCGATGACGCTGCAAGACGCTGCAAGACAATGCAAGACGATGCAAGATAATGTAAGACATTGCAAGACGATGCAAGGCGATGCAAGGCGATGCAAGATGATGCAAGACAGAGCAATATGATTGAAGGTTGTGCAAGACGATGCAAGATGATGTGTTACTTCCAAAATAACACAAAATGACGTATGTTATACACACCATCATGGTACCGAGCTTTTTTGTGCCATTTGCGTGGAATTTTGCCATAATAAAATGAATTATCATGTGTCATAATGAAATGGAGATTCGAGGCGCCCCAAAGGATTGGGCGCAGTATTTCCAGCAAGAAAATGTCTATCACGTCAAGTGTCATTTGGAGGACACGACATTGAAGCCGCCGCACCGTTGGCAGGAACGAACCCCTGACTTGGTAGCTTCTTGTTTGGAACAGTGGAAAATTGTTTGTGGCCAACTCTGGAAACAGTCCATGCTGGCAGTGACCAGGGGCGAATCCATGCACGTGCTCTTCCATTGCTTTGGAGGCATCAATCGAAGCGCTGGGGTTTTATGTGCTTGGCTCGTCGTGGGTTACAACTACTCTGCAGAGGATGCCGTCCAGTTGCTGCTTGAGAAAAGACCTGCCTTGCGCCCTTGGCACAATCGCCCCTATGTCTTGGAGGCCTTGTGGCAGCTGGAAGGTTTGCGGGCCAAGTGGCACATGGAACTGAGTGCGGCGGGCAGAAATTAATTTGCACCACTGTTCGCCTGGAGAGACTGTTCGTGGCGAACGTGCTAAATCAGTAGCCAAGTGTTGTTAGTCTGTAAAGATTGTTCGATCCTGTAGAGACATCGGAGAAATGCAGTGAAACAGGTGTCATCCATGCCATCATGATATCGAACTTGTTTTTGTGGAATCATTCACTGCGTTCACTTGTTTTTTTCGGATACCATAATACTGAGCCTTTGTTTGTGCACTTTTGCAATTTTTAAGCATTTCCATTGCAACTACGTTTGCGCACCTTTGTTTGCAACTGAGGTCATCCACGGCATCATGGTACCGAGCTTATTTGGTATGTCAAACTCAGGAGTCGTTTTTTCAGTTTCGAACTGCAAGAGCAGATGCTTCGCATTGGATTGTGCGTTGTACATTCCTTGGCTCAGATGTGAACGAATGGACAAGATGCGTTTCGCTCAAGAGATGTGACGTTTGTAGGTGAAGCTGTAGTGGAAATATCGAAACCTGACGCTTTCAAGTAATACTTCTGTAGTCTGTACTAACAGCATGTCGGGCCTGGCAGCCGATTGCTTTGCAGCTGCGGGGAGATTGCAATATACTTCGTTTCAAACAAATTCAGTTGATTTGAACGATGCGCTGTTGGTATCTATTCATGACTGGAAGGACGCCGGTTCGAGAGAATTGTACATCTACGATCAAGTGCACATGAACGGCCCTCCGGAAATGGGCCGCCATTTCTGGGGCCATTTGCCACTAGCTTGGATGCATGAGCTCATGCTCGATTTCACATTGTATTACATTCTGTTTTCAAATGAAGAAGCAAGAGATGATGCCAACCGATTATGGGTCTTGGTGTTGAAAGATACTCGGCGGCAGCGCCCACATCGTTGGACATGACGGCAGTTAACAACAAACACAGTTTTAGTGCACAAACATGTCGCATAAAGTATTTGGGGATTTAAGTATTTGGGGATTTAAGTGCAGCGAATGTCTTTGATGACCAAATTCTACGACACATTCTTTCATTTGTGCCTGGGAGCTCTGAATTGGCTCCAAAATATTCTTTGCAACCAGAAACCGGACACTATCTGGTAAAAGCTGGTTGGCCGGTTGTTTTGAAGAAAATGTGTCATTGGAAGGAGGCAGACACCACCATCTGTATTTGCTGTGGTGCCAACCAAGAACCCGGCGATCCAAACGAGTCAGACGATAGCTGGACATCTCAGCAAGTCTCTGCTGGCTGGGCAAAGGTCATGACCGTGACAATACCACACTTTCGTCATCATCATATGAAATATATCAAAAAAACAGTCAGGAGCATAGAATATGTTTGGAGGACAATGGCAGCCGAGAGATGTTACATCTGCGGGCACTGCAACGACTGCGTTGTGAATCTCGAGTATGAGCATCCTGCTGACTGGCTGGAAGATCTTTCTGTGTTCACAGAGATGCTGGAACTTAGGTCGTGTCCGTGGAGGTGCCCAGATAAAGATCGACCGCAGTAGCCGGATTGCTGCAGTAGAAAAAGCGGCAAACATGCCACATCTGCAGCATCATGGTACCGACCTTTGCTTGGAAGCAGCTTGTGGGAGCTGGAAGGCTTGCATACCGAGTGGCACATGGAACTGAGTGCAACTGGCGCAAATTAATCTGTAGCAGTGTTCGTCTGGAGAGACTGTTCGTGACGAACATGCAAAACCAGTAGCCAACTGTTGTTTGTCTGTAAAGATTTTTTTTTTTCCATCCTGTAGGGACATCGGAGAAATGCAGTGAAACAGGTGTCATCCTTGCCATCATGATATCGAACTTGCTATTGTGGAATCATTCACAGCATTCTTGCACGGACTTCTAGATTCTCTTGGATGCCATGGTACGGAGCCTTTGTTTGCCCACCTATGTTGGCAACTGAGGTCATCCACGGCATCATGGTGCCGAGCTTATTTTGTATCTCAAAGAGCGGATGCCTTGCATTGGATTGTGCGTTGATCATGGTACTGAGCCTGGTCTTGTGCACTTTTGCGATTTTTTAGCATTTCCATTGCAACTATGTTTGCGCACCTTTGTTTGCAACTGAGGTCACCCAGTGGTGCCGCGCTTTGTGAGCGTCTCTGTGTAAAAGTCTCTGTGGAAGCGTCTGTGTGTAAAAGTGTTTGTGTGTAAAAGCGTCTGTGTGTAAAAGGGTCTGTGTGGAAAAGCGTCTGTGTGTAAAAGTGTCTGAGTGTAAAAGCGTCTGTGTGTAAAAGCGCCTGTATGTAAAATAAAAGTGTTTGCGTGTAAAAGCGTCCGTGTGTAAAAGCGTATGTGTGTAAAAGTGTTTGTGTGTAAAAGCGTCTGTGTGTGAAAGGGTCCGTGTGGAAAAGCGTCTGTGTCTGTGTGCAAAAGCGTCTGTGTGTAAAAGCGTTTGTGTGTGAAAGTGTGTGTGCGTCTGTAAAAAGGCATCTGCATGTAAAAGCGTATGTGTGTAAAAGAGTCTGTGTATAAAAGCGTCTGTGTGTTAAAGTGTTTTCGTGTAAAAGTCTCTGTGTGGAAATGCGTCTGTGTGTGTGCATGAAAAACGTCTCTGTGTGAAAGCGTCTGTGTGTAAAAGTGTTTATGTGTAAAAGATTCTGTGTGTAAAAGTGTCTCTGTATAAAAGCGTCGCGTTTCTTCGCGTTCACGGAATGATGGTGCCGCGCCTTTTTCCGCAATGTGTGTGGGAATTACCATAATAAAATGAGATAGCACATGTCATTCGCAGACTCATGGCACTGAGCCTCCTGTGCACTTTTGTTGCTCACATTACATTTCTTCATGTTTTCTTTCTACCCCCCCTTTCATTCTCTCTCTCTCTCTCTCTTGCTTTCTCTTTCTCTCTCTCTCTCTCTCTTTCTCTCTCTCTCTCTTATCTCTGCCCCCTCTTTCTCTCTGTGGTTGCAAGACACATGTCATCTGATGCCCTTTACCAAATATTCTCTTCTTGATCAATCTTACTTTTTCACACCATATCTTTCACACTATTCACCGACTATCTTTTACGACTACCATCCTCAGAGCTGCTTGAAAAACATCTTTTTCGCTCTCGGGCCAACCGTCGTCTAGTTTTCATGATGATCCAGGCAGCATTAGAAACTTCTGATTGGTTCTTAGGGGTGGCGTTTTGTGATCCCAGTAATGATCCCATTTCCGATGATGCTCCGAAGCCAACGTCGTTTTCTACGTCCTGGGTGCTGTATGGACTTCCACTATATCGCGCCTCTCCATGCAATGTGGGGTCCTGAAGATAGCTAAGTTGGTTTATAGCTTCGATAACAAGGCTTTATTCAATTAGATATTTGCAGTTGAGCGGGTGAAACTATATCATAGGCCAACTTATAGCTGTTAAAAGTTGCGGGCGGATTATCCAGCAGAGTAGTCCACTTGGGGGACTTCCGATCACGGCTATATGGGTACCTGCAGGACTGGGATGGGCGCATCACCCAGCCCCTGGTGGACAAAATCCTGGGCGAGGCGGTGATTTTTGTGGTGAAATGGTGGGTGAAGATGGGATACGTAAGCATATAATTACATGGTCATAAAGTGTTTATATATGTTTATAGAGAGAGAGAGATTCATTTGTTGCATTCCGGTATGTGTACACATTTAGCATGTCTATGTTCATGTACTGTAATTATGTTTATATAAGTATATTTAATTATGCATGCCTCTATTTAGTGATTAACGACACTGTTTTCAAACGTCTTTGGCCCTCATCGCTTGATGCGCTATCCAGCACTGCTGGTGGGTAGCACTGCGCCCAGAAGAGAAGGTTGCAGAAGATGCTGCCGTGACTGACACTGAATCAACCGCAGCTCCTGACCAGGCACACTCTAAGAAGACCGTCAGGGAACGATTCCAAGCATCTGACCGGCCAAGTGTCAAACTGCGTTACGGTCAATGCTTTGGGAGCAGGATAAATGCATCGGAGTGTGAAGGTGGAGGGGCCTGACGGCGTCAAGGTGCAGATCCGCAGGTTGTTGCGGAGCTCTGGGCCAAACACATGAACGGAACTGACAGCTAATTACACACTTTCACCACTGAGCCGGCTACATTGCCCTCTGTGTGCTGCCGTGGTTGGCCACTTTTGTGGCTTGCTGTGCGTGCCCTTCCATGATCTGGAGGATCTACAGGGGAACTGCTTTCCAAAAAGCTTGTTCTGAGGTGCTGGAAGGATCAGACAAGGAACCAGTTCCACGGCTTAATAGACTCATCTAATGTCTTATGTAGTTGAACATCCGTTGACCAGACTGAGCCTAGTTGGTTATGGTGTTGGCCAGGTTGTATTGGCCTTGAAGACCTACGTTTTTCTGGTCCCGATGGCGCCGTCGACCTGTGCAATTGTCTTGTCTCCCCAGATGCTACTTTCTGGGCTTGTGATATTTGTGGCCATAGGGGTGAAAGCGACGCAGGGAAATGCTCTCCTCATGCCGGAGGCCATGTGTCCACAAGGGCTGACCAAGGTGTTGAGCACTGAGATTAGGTTCCTCCTTGCCCTGCTGGCGCCCTCTTTGCTGCTTGTGTGCTTCGGAATACTACAGTTGTTTGCTGTTCCATGGCTGTGCACAAAGCTTTGACTGATCCGAATTCGGCGGGTTGTTCCTCTTGCTACAGCTTTTGTGTGAAGGTCCACTCATGCTGGTGTTTGTCTCTCTTCCTCACTTCCCTTTCCTGATCAACTCGCACATCCTAGCCAGAATCGTAAAACGGCATGTGCGCACAGGGACATACAGTGACTACGAAAGTTGAAGGCATTCACTACTTTGAAAAGCAGAAGGATGGAGAAGGGATTAAGCAGCTCCAGCTCAAGTTCAAGGAAGTACACAAGTGCCCGTGAATGTCCTTCCAAGTTTGGAGTGCATCGCCCTGCCAACTTTCGGCTTCGCAGCTTGCAGTTGATGTTGGGGTTGGGCATTCATGACAATGGTGGCACTTGTGAGTGGTCATGTTCAAGACATGGCTGAGATGAAGTAGTGGATGAGGGTGGCTAGTCTCCTTGTGAGAACCCTTGTTTTGTTGCCATTTGGAGTCATTTGCTTGTTGCCTCCAGCCTCCGTATCGGATGCCTTCGACCAGCTGCTTGATTCACTGAATCGCCTGAGCGCTCTCAAGGGCATGGAAGATGACCCCCAGATCTGATTCAATCGGGGTAAAGCTTGGGCTTCGTCTACTTTGGGACAGTCATCAACGGTTCATCAGGCTCTCTTCCTGAAGATCGCAACGTACCGTTGCTCTTCTCCTACTACAAGGTGCTGGACTCCTCTTCCAATGCCCGAAGTTTGCTCTCTGAAGTGCCTCACTGACATAGATATGGCTGCGCATGAAAAATGAGAGACGTGATCTCCTTGTCTTTGAGTGCTGGATTTGGAAAAGGGCCACCATTTTGGAAGAAGTTCAACCCATTTTCAACCCATTTTGGACATCAGAAGCCACATCCAATCCTTTATTGCCAGCAGAGGACGTGGATTCCAAGCCACTTCTCCATCCACAGATTTGGTCAAAAAGCGTTTTCAACAACGACTTTGATTCCTTTGTCCATTCCCGTTCTAAAAACACATAAGCAATGTATGTATATATATATATTATTTTGTTTCGCCTGAGTTTCTGCTTAGATCAGCATTCTTGTGCGTTGAACCGCATTTTTTTCTTGGTGGCATGCTCATTGTCAATGTCTACGGTCTACGGTTAAACATGTTAAATTCGTTGTATTAAACGGTGACATCCTCATTTTGTTCATGACAAGCAGGATCTTCCGCACTGGAGCCAGCAGCAACCCACCAGCCAGGCGCGGAGCAAAGATCCAGCCGAAGTGAAGCTGGCGCGCGAGTACTGCGACCTGCTGCGAGGCGAGTCCAGTCACAATGAAGCATTCACAAAAGCTGCAGTGGTTACTGTAGATAACTGTTGTTTATGGATTTGGACATATTGTTTGTATGCGTTTGTACTGTGAAAACATATGAAATATATATATATAATACCGGCTAAGGGAGTTGATAACCATGGTGACCATCCACTTGTAATTACTACGGTAAATAGACTGTGACTGTGCAAAAAATGGTGCCCTAATTTATCAAACGACTGTTGTTTTCTTAGTAGGTTAGTTGGTGGTTGAACGTGGATATACCTCAAACCGATTTGGAGTGAGGAGTGCCATTGGGTTGGGTGGGGATGGTACAGACTCCATTCAGTTAGCCAAACATCAATATCCAATCGCCAATCAAAATTACCCTCTGGTAAACTAACATAACAATGGAAAATCACCATTTTTTCAAGGGTAAATCAACTATAAATGGCCATGTTCAATAGCTATGTTAAATTACCAGGGGGTAACAAATAATGTTCTTATCAAAGCTAAGCGAATGAAACAGCATGAGTTAGCAACGAATCACATGATCAACGCGTCAATCACACATGAATCTATCCTGAACGAATCAAACGTCAATATTTGGGTTTGTTTGATCAACCATCAAATGTTGTCTTGAATCAATCATCAGCAGCAGTGACCCTGGCAACATCAACAGCATTCATCCAACAACAATAGCGGACAACAGCAACAACAACAACAACAGCAGCAATAGTAAGAGTAGAAAGAACCACAAGAATAATAAAGACAGAGGACATGCACCTTACTAGGAGCAAACAATAGTACATTATAAATGTATATGTATTGTTTGTTTTTTTCTATATTTATTTTTTAATGAATATGTGTGGTTTGTGTTTTGTTTTGTTTCTTTTCATCATGTTTCCGCATCCCTATCAACCCCGAGGGGCTGCATATAGTCCCGTGCAGTGGTGCAATTGGAGTGACAACTCAATGCCTTGGAGCATATCAGCTACACTTGCCAAGAATCTAATAGTTTTTAAAGCTTTGTTTCGGGGAAAAAAACAACTGTTGGTTTGATCACATGTTTGTCTTTCCTACTATTTTGAATATCTAAAGGCTTGCTACATTTACATACATTTACAAGAATCGTCTTACTGGTTCTTAGCAGGGAATTTTCGGGAATGATCCAAAATCACTAGTAATAATCATCCCATTCCCGGCCCCATTCCCATCCATTCCCTACGTTTAGCACCAGTAAGTCGTTTGTTCTGATGGTTAATCTCTTCCAATTCCACATTTTGGACGACGTCTAGGTCAGAATCGTGACAGCGAAGGGGAGCTGATGCTCAGAGTGCCTCGGCTGCACGGCTGCGCAACAAAACGACATGAGGGCCTGGCGGCTAGTGCTGCTTCGTGACATTCCAAACCGTTTGAATTGTTTTCAAGAGTTGTTCGCCATGTTTTAAGTCATGAACATATCAGTTTCCATTATTTTTCAAGATATTTCAGGTGCCTAAATCATTCATCTGTCTAAATCCAATGATTACAATTCAGTGATTGCACCATTAGCGCTGCTTCAACCTACTGTACTCTCTGTTTTTTTTTAATGGTTTCAATCGAATCTGTCTCAGGCTTTCATGTGCCAAGCAAGACGAGCGAGAGTGAGACTTGCATCAAAACTGGGGGATGGCGCTTGTTAGGCTGGGTATACCAAGAGAATGACATGTTTCATCAGCAAACCCGTATGGAAGCGTTCCTTCGATGTTGAAGCAACATTTTGGGGCGGTGGAAGCAACCAACATACACATGCAGAGAAGGGGTTCAGGAAAGACAGAGCATATTGTCATCAACCAACAACAATAACAAAATCCAAAACAGGAGATCAGACGAATTCCAGCACTTTGAAACCCTAATGACCTATGTGATCCTATGTGAATCTATTTGCTATGAAGAAACTAGCGCAATCTTTGTCCCCGTTGTACTCTTTGTCTTGAAGGTAGTTCCTTCCTATTACAGACTTTTTATAACAATAAAGACTTCTATTTTGCTCACAGTTGTTTCGGTGTTTGTTTTGGGGTCAACCCCCATCAACCCCGGGGCTTATTGAGACCTACAGGAAAGTGGACGAAGCCAATGAACTCACGCGCTGTGTGCGCCCATCTTCAGGACGATGCGTTCGAAGGTAAACATGTCTTGCAGCTAATACTGTGCCGGAATTAGTTGTTCCAGATTTTTTTAATGATTTTTTCATACACATTCACATTCCATCTTTTTCTTAGCACCCAACCACGGAACGCTGTCAATATTGCACCCTGTATGATATGTGTTGCTTGAGCCAAAGCGGCAGGACTGCACTTCGAACTGGCAGCACAGGCGCAAGAGACGTATGTTTGGGGAATGTGTGGCCAAAAATGCTGGGAGTTTTGAGACAAATCGATACAAATGGGCCAATACCATATGCCTAGATCCACTCTTGGGTTTGTGAAAAAAAAAGAATATGTGCGACAATTATCATTAAACAACGGTGACTTAATCAGCAAACCCATTGGATTTGGCTTTTCTTATGGGGTTTTACCCCATGGGGAAACCCCCATGAGTTTCTGGTAGCGTCGCAGCTGGTCACTGGGATCCTGAGCGCTTTTTCCAGGCACCGGTGCTGTCCTATGGTTTTTATCGATGTGCCAATTTGCCTGAGCTCTGTGTGTCTTGGCTGCGGGCTGCGAGGGGCCTAGGGCCTACCTAGAATTAGTGCCTTGGAAAGTGTGGAAAGTGTGGAAAGTGTGGAAAGTGCACGGGAACCACACGGAGAAAGCCATAGAACCACACAGTGTTACATGGTGACCCACATGTCGACAATGTCAATGATATAAATTACGCCCAATCTGGGGATCCAATATGGCCAACGCCATGGTGAGAATGAGATTGGAACCCCCAATCGTACTGGCATGGAACGGATCTGTGATCGGACCCCCCTATGGCTATATCTGACTCAATGTGAACTCACCTCAGGTTGCACAGCCTTTGCTGCAAAACTCAAAGCAGTGATTTGGTTTTCACATGTTTTCACTAGGCTGGATTTTTAGGAGGTTATTGTTGCCATTTGTTGCCAATATACTGAGAGTTTGATAGTTCCACCACATTGTTTGTTTGGTGCAGGTTTTGCACAGATGTTGGCACCGGACCCATCCCAAAGTGACAAAGATGTCGATGTGAGTTACTGTACATCTTCCCAGATGTTTGGTAAAACCCAAATCTTTGATGACCAACAAAGAAAGAACATCTCCGAAGATAAACAATCTTCGAAATGGGTGGTTCTTAGCAAAGTGAACTTCCCGATTATTGTATTTTTTTGACTTCATTCCCACTTCGATTTTTGCAAGTGGCTCAGAACCCTTTACATAACTAAATAATACTATATAGATCTATATAGGCCATTAAAAAAACTATATAATACTATATAGTTATATAACAAATATATATATATATACATGCCACAGACGTTTAACATGAAACCCAACAGGGGCCATTTTCAGAAGTTTTCCGCAATCTTCGAAGCCCAGTTCTTCAGGTTCGGTGTGACTAGGGACTAGGCACTAGAACTGGGTAAGCCACGCATCACTACAAAACATATGACTGCGACGGAAGCCTGGAATACCTGGGTTATTTATAATTAAGGGCAATCATCCCCTTCTATGGCCGAACTATTCAGGTTGGTGAAATATTAGAATTTACCCAGATACATGATGATATACGAACATATTCCATCATAAGAGCAAATTACCTCATGTGGGTGAAACAATGTCATAAACCATCCCCCAGTCATCACCATTTTTATAGGTCGTATATGGTGGTATGTCTACAATTCCCAGTCATGGGTGGTAAAAATGGCAGTGCTTTTACCCAAATTACTTAACCATCATTCAGTATCAGTAACCATCATTAACCATTATTAACCATCATTAACCATCATTAACTACCCAGTCATGTGGTAAAAATGGCATTCTTTTACCCAAATCATATAGAAACCCATAGCCAGGCTGGGAATCTTCCGCCATGAAAAACAAAATCAAGGTGCGGCTGGTGCGGCGCACGCGCTTCCGCGCCGCGGTGCGGAAGGTCATGGCTCAGTTGAAGAAGCAGAACCTGATTCAGGTCTGGCTATGGCTGTTGTGTTGAATACTTGGGAGTTGTTTGATGAACATTTGTGATTAATTAATGTGTTTCTACAGTTTATGATCATGTGTATGTGTATATATATATATACTTAATCTCATATATATATGTATATACGTGTGTGTTGCATTTTGAAATCTATGCATATATATATATACATACACATGATAGGATTTACATGCGTCTATCTGAACAATCCCATGTGTCCTTTCCAACCGAGTTTCGATTCATCGGTTGGCCAGCTAATAGTGAGGCCGGGCCCCACATCTCACCTTGGGATGTTGATGGAAACTGGTGATCAACCCAAGAAGATTTGCAGGCGGCTGTACGCTCCTTTCTGCCTGCCAAATCAGAGTCCATCAGCAGAAGCTTGACCTTGGTGAAGATCATGGATGGCCGGATTGATTTTGTTCGTTAGCAACCCTAAAGAAGATAGAAGAGTAATGGTGGCCACTATTTTGATATGGGTTTTGGCGGTTCTTTATGTTTTGGGAATTATTTCGGTATGTAATGAATATATATATATATTTATATATTTATTTATGGGCAAAACAAAGAAATATGAAAGAACTTTAAATGTATATAAATAATTATGAATATATATATATATATTTACATATGAAGCGAAATCTGCAGGGTAAAATGGTTGTAACACAAGTATTTAAAAAAAAAATAGTTAGTAGAAAGGGTCAACATGGAGAGATCAAGCATCGACATGCGACATGCGACATGTTTATTCGTTGGACCATGCGAAAAGTTGACAGCCTGCAGTCAGATACACATTAAATATACAATGTAAATATTATACATTAATGTATATATATATATTAATAATCATATTTAGCCTGTTAATAACACCTTACCCATCCAATCCAGCTTTGTTTCTGCGTTGAATCTCCATGTTTGTTGCCTACTTGTCCATGGAATTTTCATATATATATACATATATAACCGCCCTGGAGTAGATAGAATATGGGAGTTTCAATAGTGATGATTTGGATTGAAATGTCAATATTCTATCCACTCCAGGATGATTATATACATATACAGTCTATATCGTATACCAAGTATTTTCCCCCATTATTTTTTTAAATTATACACCCTTTAAATTAAATACACATGATAGAAGCATTATCTAAACATCCATAAACCCAAAGTATTAATTATACAACACCCCCTGTTGTTCTGTCCTCGCGCTGAGGCGATTACCAGCTGCTGAGCACCTGGACTTTGCCCAAATTCTATGCCAGGCTTGAGATGATGTATGAGGTGCTTGGACGGGCGGGCCATGTGCCATGGTGACTTCTGGCTGTGTGGAGAGTGTATTCCTCAATTGAGAAAACCAATGTAATACGATACGAAAAGGTTTTGTGTATAATGTTATTTTTTTTGCGTTTTATTATGTTCTGTGCAACTATATTTTCGGTTCTGAGCCATTTCACTGAAGTACTAACCATCAAACCGACTCCATGGCCCAAACAGGGCTTGTAGGGGACCTCTGGGAAATTGTCACGAGGACCCACATATGTTTGGGGGTTGTTCGAGCTGTATATTTTGCCATTGTAAGAACGGATTCGGAAACTGTGGTTTATCTCCCAGGATTTGTTTTTTGTGGGTTGACCCAGATCTAGTCTAGTCATGTCTAGTCACAGAAAACTGGAGGCATTCCCAAATGAGTAGGCATTGCCTGGGTCAGACAGATCCTGAAGATTTGAAAAGTGGAGGGTTCACAGGATCTCTATAGTCTTAGTACCAGGGGAAAAATTGTAGGGAACATGGTTCGAGGCCCCTTTGGAGGCTCCAAACATCACCATTGGATCATCGAAACGCAAAACGCACCGATGATTTTCGGTCGGTTTACCTTTACGACTCTACGACTGTTTGGTGGTTCGAACATTTATATGAGTTTTTGGATGCGTCCTACCTTAGGAAATTATTTTGAGGTTCCAAAGTATGTTTTTTTTAAATAATTTCAAATTTTTAACATAAATTTTATGTTAAAATCACCCGACAAGAGCCATAGCAAAATAATTTTTGCACCCGTACCTTGATGATGGTGCAAAATAATTTTCCACCTACAGAGGTTGAAGCACCTTGAAATAATTTTAAACAAGCAACTTAAGGCACCTCAAAATAATTTCTCAGTTGAACTGGGGAAATTATTTCATATAGTTCCAACTGTATAAAATAATTACCAGACACCCATGATGAAAATTATTTCATGGGGTGGGGGTACTTGCAAACCACCTGCAAAATAATTTCAGCATATTACATCAAATTTCAACTACATATTTCAACATGTTCAGTCAGGATATTCTTTGAATCAATCTGCAGCCATTTCCAACTTCATTCAAGCCACATCCCGTCAATCCCAACACATCCCAGGGAAGTTGAGTTTTGCAAGGTTAGGTTTTTTTGGATTTCTGGGGTGGTCTAGTAGTTAACCACCCCGAAAATAATTTTTGGGGAGAGAGGAATCGATTCAGGTTTCTTTGCCCAAAAGCCGATGCTAAGTCGATGTTCTAAAAAATAATTAGTTCAGCCAGTAATTCATGGTAAATCTCAGGGTTTGTCTGTTCGAGGCAATTTGGATTTTGAACTACTCAATGGGAAGTTAATTTTGCCAGTTTAGGCTATTATTATTTCTGGGGTGGTTTAGTAGTTAACCACCCCCAAAATAATTTATGGGGTAGGAAGGGGTCGATTCAGATTTCTTTGTCCAAAAATCGATGGTCTAAATCATAGGTGGTTTAGTAGTTAACCACCCCCAAAATAATTAGGTTCTCATGGTTTGATTCTTTCAGACAGTTTGGGTCAATTTGGATCAGGTTTGGCATTTTTGACCTATTCCAGGGAAGTTGAGTTTTGCAAGGTTAGGTTATTTTGGATTTCTGGGGTGGTCTAGTAGTTAACCACCCCCAAAATAATTTTTGGGGAGAGAGGAATCGATTCAGGTTTCTTTGCCCAAAAGCCGATGCTAAGTCGATGTTCTAAAAAATAATTAGTTCAGCAAGTAATTCATGGTAAATCTCAGGGTTTGTCTGTTCGAGGCAATTTGGATTTTGAACTACTCAATGGGAAGTTAATTTTGCCAGTTTAGGCTATTATTATTTCTGGGGTGGTTTAGTAGTTAACCACCCCCAAAATAATTTATGGGGTAGGAAGGGGTCGATTCAGATTTCTTTGTCCAAAAATCGATGGTCTAAATCATGAAATTCCGACAATGCTTGTCGGGTGCATTCGGGAGGATAGGTAGGGTGACCCCCCAAAATAATTTTGTGGGGATTTTTGCTAATTATTTTGAGGTGGTTCTACTTGTTTTTTCAATCATCCAAAACCATCTTAAACCACCTTGAAATAATTTCCAAAATTCTTTTGAACTAAGGGAAGTGTTTTTGAGTAATAGTAGAACCCTACAAAATAATTTATTTGCAAATTTTCAGAAATTATTTTGAGGAGGTGGGTAGTGATAAAGGATATTATTTTGGGGTGGTTAGAGTGTTTTGGAAAAAAATATTTTGTAGTGGGTTATGTACTAGAAGCACCTCAGAATAAATCCCAGAAATTATTTTGGGGGGTCACCCTAGTGATTTTACCCAGGGTAGCCCGCATGTTTTTGGTGTTTTTAAAGACATCTAACCACATATATACACATATAAACACATATTTGTGCAATTTTTTGCACATGTTTTTATATGTGTTTCCCATCCAACTTGGGATGATGATCATCCCTTAAAATCACGATGGAGTTTCGTGGCTCGAAGCGTTGCTGATACGGCAAGCAGCAACCTGGTAAGCGGCAACCTTCAAAATGTTCACCATGTGACCCCGATGGGTCATATATATATATATATCATTATATATCACTATCTATCAGTCTAACATGTTCAACTGAAAACAAGACAGAACCAACAAGTCCAAACACTGCTCAACTTTGAGTTGCCTCAGATTTTTCTGCGTTGGCGCGGCCCGGCACGGCCTGCCATCGAATCTGCGACGACGTCCTGCATTTGCAGCCCGCAGCCATCGAAGGCCGTGGCGCCGGCACCAGCCATGGCCAACTTTGAAGACGCCTTGCAGAAACAGCTGGAGCTGTTGAAGGTGGAATTGCTTCAGGCGGATGACTTGATATGTTGTGACATTTTATGGGTGTTGATGTGGACATTTGAGGGGAGAGATAAGGGGTGAATAAAGGCGTTGAAAGTGCAGGAAGGCTGCAAAAGGTTTGTTTTGCATCATAGTTGCGCAAGCGTTTTTGTTGATGAGTAGTTGGGGATAAATTGAAAATCGGGACTTCTTCCGATCACCCAGCACAGAGACAATATGAGAGACGCACAGGGTATCGGTTGCTATTGATGTCATTGCAATGTGATTCTTGAAAGGTACAACACCCCTTCGGCCCTTCGGGTTGCAGTATGTTGCAGTAGATTTGCACAAACTACAGACATGGAAAGGTTGGACGGTGAGTTTCTGCACTGGGTGATCTAGACAAGTGGGAAGCTCCTGCTTCAGATATTGCCTGGGGATGGGATGTTAGCTGTAGATACGAGCCCCTGACATGAGCATAGAGACCCAACAGTAGAGAATTGGACTTTGATCCCTTCCCTGAATTTTACAAGCATCCCCGCACAAAGGCATGGTTTATCCTCTGGTAGAGGGAAAAATATGGCTTGCTGGAAAGTCACCCATTTGTTCCCATTTATAGAGGATTTTCGCATTCATGTCCATTTATAAGGGATTTCCCAGCTAGCCACGTTTGATTTACCGGAGGGTAGTATGTCATTCTGGAGAGTCCAGGTATGTCCAGGTCCCAAACTTGGGCATTTGACAGGCACACTGGGCGTCCCACTCGGCCAACACGTCCCACTCGGTCAACAAGGGCTCAAGACGTAGCAGCACCCTTTCCGTTCCCGTCGATTTGGAGGCAGGGAAACACGTCTTGAAGTTTGAGCCATCGAAGCTGTGGCCTTGTGTTGGCATGTTTCGGCCGGTGGTCAGAAGTTATCACTTTCCATTCCAGGAAATTCCTGCGAAATCTTTGAAGGATCCCCAGTGACTGGTTGTTTCTCACTGAAACCGCCAAGCCGGGATGGAATTTCTAGGGGGCCCGAATGATCACACTGATGGGTACAGTAGAAGATGCAGATACGCCCTCATCTTAACATCAAGGGCATTGGATTTTGCCCATGCATCCATTTTCCCATGGAATGGTTGACCGTGAAGTGATTCCAACAATGTGAGGCCCCCAAGATATAAGTTGGTTTATAAGCCCCAGTAACTATAGTTATAAATACCATAAACCACAGTTATTGGAGTTATAAACCAACTTAGCTATCTTGGGGGCCCCACATTCCAATGTTTCATGATTCAAGAGCCTATTCTTTCCCTTGGATGAGACCCAGGTGCCGAGGCAGGAGGTGATCCCCTCCGAACATGACGAAGAGGTGCAGCGATCTTTCAGCATGGCTCTGGTGAAAACATCTTGAAAACACCACAGAAACACCATGGTTGAGTGATGTTTTGTATTGTTAAAAATGGTGAAATAGTATGAAAAAGTAACATCAATTGAGCCATCGAAGGTTTCACCAAGGATGGAGTGGACTGGTAGCATGATCGTCTAAGCAACAAGAAGCTGGTTGGTGGTTTGGAACATTTTTTATTTTTCCATATCTTGGGAATAGAAGCCCCAACTGACTCAACTGACTAATATTTTTCAGAGGGGTTGAAACCACCAACCAGGAAGTCTTGTTGTACTGGTACGTGCACAGTGTTGCAGTTCACCAACGAAGGGGGTGGGAACCGGCAAGAATAATTTGCTAAGCATTTGTTTAGTAGTTTTAAACCAAGAATGGAATAGACATACTTTTGCCGCCAAAAGATTCTGGTTCATTGGAGAAAAATCATGGACAATGAGTGATGGAGGGGTATTATTTAATTATATAATCGTGATTAATAGACACACACACACATATATAATCATATATATATATTTATATATATACATGCTATGCGTTTAAAACTTCAAAAAAAATGGGATGCGTCAACTATGAAATCCGATTGACTGGAATATTACATGTACAGTATCACCTGACTTTCCAAACATGCAACTTGGCACATTATTGATAATACATCATTCCTTATTAAGAACGACGGATGATTGACAGATAGTCCGGTTGGCCATGTATCCTAAATTTCATCAAGTCATCAGCTTGTGGCTTCGAGATGTGTCCGGTTACCTCTGAACATTTGATCTATCCCGCAGTCTTTTGAGAACATCATCCTATTAATGTATGCAGCAGTATTTTCATATTTTTCATGTGATATATATCTATATATATATATATATATTATGAACTATATATGTGTTACTGCAATGATTATAGTCATTATTAATGTGCTGTTTGCTCCAATTGCCAGGTTAGGTACCATGGTCGTGGCATCTCGTTAGGTCGGCGTGGCGTTGCGCGTTTCGGACCACTTTGCGAATGGCATCGCAGTTCGATGGGTAGCTGGGCGAAAACCACCGGGAGGTCCATAATGCTTGGTCCATATACAGTATGAAATATCGATACACACACATATATATGACATATAATTATTTATATATATATTATGTATATACCTACCTGAACATTCCGTCGATCAATTATTTTTGGTAGTTTTGGAGTATGACTGAAAATGCCCCAGTTTTCAGAATCTCGTCTAATTCTACTAGTTTGCCTGGTTTTGCTTCCTAGTGGCCACACTATCACCACAATTGACATTTTGAATAATTATGACTGAACATGGCTTGCATCCTGGCTGCGTCCCAAAGACATACCAGGCCATTCTCATATCCCGAGCACCAACGCATATGAATGCACATACTGCGCCCAAAATTACCCGCAAAACGCCTGCAAAAATCCGTAAAACGCCCGCAAAACCTGCAAACGCCCGCAAATCCAAGAATCTTGTAAATTGAGAGCAAAATACTGGTGAGAAGACAGGGCCATGCTGATGGGAAACACAGCCATGACATACCACGCCTAACTTTTTGGGGAACGCGGGAACGCTCGATACGACCATAAATTTGATGAAACGCCTGATTGTGCAAAACGCCTGATATTTTTTAGGAGCTGGAAGGCCCAGGTATAGAAGGTACAGAAGCTGGATATAAATGTCTATGTTTTTTAGGAAGATCATTTATGCATGGCGGATTTCCCAAGGGTGTCCTTGTTTGGGCCAGTTTGGGCATTGTATGGTTTGTAATCTACTATGGCCCTGAGAGTGACAAGAAAAATGGGCAAGCAATCTTCATGAAACCAAAATGACTATATAGAATTATATAGATCTCTTTGCCCCGTACAGTACCAATTGATGATCAACGTGCGTATGATTCAAGTTCACTATGCACACATGCGTACATATCATTTTTGCATTTACTGTAAAACATAATATATTTTTACATGCACGTATATATTATGTGTTTGTTTGTTTATTTATCTATACACATATTATACAGATCAAAACATCATCCAACTTGGATGTGCATCTCAGGAATTGCTACTGCTAGACCTGACGCTCCACCGTGTTCCCAACATACCCATTATCACCAATACAACCTATATATATATATATATCCAACTTCCTTACACACAAAATGTGTACATATATATATATATATATATGTTGGTGTGTGTTTGTGTCAATGTAAAAAAAAACATGTATAGAATATATTGATATACGATATACACTCTTTTTCGTATTAGTTTTTGAAAAACATATCCTGTATACATCTCCTGCCTGTCCTGCGGGATCTCAGGCCCGCCTTTCCCGCGCCTTGCTGGCACCACCTCCATCCGAGGCGGGACGGATTTGAAGCTGACTGTAGCTCTGGGATTCTATTGTGATTTCAATGGTGGGTTAATGGGGATTAATGTGATTTTAATTGTGTTTAATGGGGTCTTATGGAATGTTTCATTTACTCCACTAAACGAATATTATTGGTTGTACCCTCTGGTAGTCAAACGTGGCTGGTTGGAAATTGCTCAATGAATGGGGGTTTCTAGCTGGTAAAACCATCATAAACCATCTATAAATTAGGAATTTTCCAGCAAACCGTGTTTGATTATAGTAAGATAACTATATATGTTTAATTATATCCACTATGATATGTTATGTGGGGATGATAATGATGGATTGTTTAATGGTTGCTATTGAAATGTGGCTTATGGCCCTACTTGCTTCACCATAGAGATTTTGAACAAAACCATTTCATAGCAGAGGTGTCCGCGGCTGAAGTGGGGACCAGGATGACGATTCCAATTGACTTAATACAGGTTGAACAAACAGGAAACCTTTGGTTTCGTGTAGGCAGTGTTTCGGCAATCTGGATGTGGCAACCGTCCACTTCCAGCTTCAACATATTTCTTCAATCTTCTTTTGGAGAATAGTCAATGTGTTTGTTTCACAACTTTAAAATTATGTCCACCAATTTTTGCAGCTTATTTTCCCATTGGACTCGCCAATTTCGGATGATTTCCTCATCCCCCATTTGCGGGATTCCCAATGTTTTTTTTTGGATGTTCTGTTGGTTTTGTGTAGGAGCCATTTCTTTAATATGCTTACCTCAGTAACATGGGTGTTTCTTGGTGCCACGGGTGATCCCCAGTCAGCATGTCTCACTGGTCGGTCCCAGCCGCTTTTGGGCTTTTCAAAAACGCGCGTCGTTGTGGTCTTGGTGCCATGGAGATCCAATGTCAAGGCGAAGCCTTGGGCGAAGCGCAACGGAAAGAAATGGCCAAGGTGCAACGTGGATGGGGTACGGATGGACAATTCATAAAAGATACGGACATCTACTGGGAATATCATGGGAAGAAGACTTTTTTGATGAGGTACCGATGGAATATGAATGGAACATGTATTAATTGGATGGAATAATTATCCAGTGATGTGATGATGGTAATACCTTGGGATACACATTAAGTCAATGCAATCTGAAATGGCCATGGAATGTTAATGGGATATTGATTCTCTGTCCAATGGTTCGGAGGGAGCTGAGTATATCTATCAGCTTATCAGTTGGTTGGGAAACTCTTAGTTTTTTTTGGGGGGGAATTTGTTGCACGTATTCCTCCATGATTATCCACAATTTTCTCTAATTCTTGTGACCCAAGACTTCACTATCCAGTGGTTAGGGAGCGCTTTGGAGCTAGGGGTATACCCTATTAACTGATGAGCCAAGGAGCGAGCCAGTTGGAGCTACACTAAGAGTTTGCCAACCATTTGATAGTAAGCCCGTCAGCCCAAGTTTG